GCTGCTGGAAAGGGAGCTTACAGCCTGGAGTTATGATTATTTGGATGGGAAGAGGACAGGGAGGCAAGGTCACCTTGGCTCACAGACAAGAGAAGTGCCTGATCTTGGCTGCTCTGAGCCTGGTTTGGTTATGAAAGCCTCAGTAGAATACTACTTTTATCTCATGTCCTTAAATGAACATGGAGAGGAGCTGCCAGCAAGGCTCATGCAGCAGTGGACAGCAGTGGAATGAGCTGTTCTTACACAGGATGAGAGTCAACGACCATGGAGTGAATGGAGTTTTACAGGTATGGGCCAAGGGCAGCTCAAATAAAAGTGTCCGAAGAGGAACAGGAGGAAGAACAAGGTGAAGTTAAGCTAGAAGCAAAGGGAAAATAATAATAATTTCATTCAAAAGCCAGCACCCATCTGTGTGGAGCCACCCAAGCCTCCCTTGAGTGAGTCCTCAGCTGTCATAGTCTTAGCAGAGGGTGGTTGACTTTTTTATATTTAGCTAATAGCAACACACTAGAGTATGTTATTCTGACCCTTATGTACCCATCATGGTTCATTAACCTGGAGCAGAATTGGGCTAAATGTGCCAGCTGATATACCTGAATAATTTTTAACAGGCATTTCTAGCTAATAACATAATAGAAAACCTAAATGGGACAGTCCTTAAAATATCAACTGAATGAATATTACTGCTAAAGTGTAAGTGGTTGGGGCCAAATACGACAAACATCTGTAATTTCAGTCTTTGTATTCATATAGTTGAGATAGTCCAGCTCGAGCATCTTCTCACAGCGAGGAAGACAACAGCTGTGTGTTTGTCTTGCAGCCGTGTGATTTGGGTTGATCTGACCATACCACTGCCAATCATGTTGTTTTGCTCAAAGGACTTGTCAATACTCCCTTTTCTTCAGACTTGGAACATGGGAGTTGCATATTTTAAAATTAGGCTGAGATGGGTAATTCTGTCTGTGTCAGAGGTGAGGGCCTTGCCTTTGAACTCTGCTTCCATTTTCTAGTGGTGAAACCGTGGATAAAAGTAGACTGACAAACAGTGTCCTTATCTGTAACCCTATAGCCTTTGACTCTGTTGTAGTAGTTTCCCAAAGTCTGCGTGACAGTATGCTTTATACCACCTTTGAAGTTAAGTTGTGTTGAAGTGTGGTGTACCAGCTAGAAACAGGGACTGTGTATTCCAAGTTTTATATGAGCTCTTGAAGACAAGATATACAAATACCCTACTCTCAGTGAATAATCTCGTGTTTTAAATTACTATTTGTAAGAAAATTCTTGATTCTAGTAGCTGGATTCCTAGAGTAGCTTTTAATGTAGCATCCTGATAGCATCTTCTCTGGAGAAGAGGAAGCTTTCAGGAGACGTTATAGCAAGTTCCAGTACCTAAAGGGGCCTACAAGAGAGCTGGAGAGGGACTTTTCCCAAGGACATGTAGTGGTCAGACACATAAACTGAAGGGTAGGTTTAGATTAGATGTTAGGAAGATATTCCCTACTTAGAAGGGTGGTGATGCAGTGGCACAGGTTGCCCAGAGAAGCCTTGGATGCCTCATCCCTGGAAGTGTTCAAGGTCAGGTTGGATGGGGCTCTGAACATCCTGGTCCAGGTGTCCGTGCCCATGGCAGAGGGGCTGGAAATACTTGATTTTGAAGGTCCTTTCCAACCCAAAGAATTCTATGATTCCATTATGCAGCTTGATCATCCAAGGGTTTTGCATCAGGCCTAGCACTGGGGCTACCCTGCTCCATGAGGGAAAACATGAGGAGGAGGCAACCAGGATGACATAACACATATGCACAGTCCAGAGGCAGGTGCTGTGGGTGCCAGAAACTGCATCTGAAGGGAGGCTCCTAATCAAAAAGTCACAGTGTAACAATTAAATTATATGAGTGTGGACCTTTCTCTGCCTCCATTCCTTTTTATAATATATAAATATTGTGTTTGTGCCTCAACATCAAAAACAAATGTAATAGGGTCTAGGCAGGTGGGGTTTTTTCTTTCCTCTACTTAATCCCTTGTAAGCACTGAAAAAGCATTTTAGATCCCACAGATTTGAAATTCCACCCTAAGTAATTACATCCAAAAATTGGAATAAAAGAAAAAAAAAACCCCAACAACCTAACCCCTACTATTGTAGTCTGCAGTCTTGAAACACTCCATATACTGATTTACCAGATGATTTTTACTACACATTGGTGCTTCTCAAACAGTCCCTGAAGCTACTCAGTGGGAATGGCTAGCTATCAGCAAATTCCATAACAATTCCAACTATGACATACACTAACAAATAGTAACAAATTAAAAGTACAGCTCATAGCTCTAAATTATAAAAGTATCCCAATTTACAGGGTTATGCTTGTTGAGCTAAAATATAGCTAATGTTAAAGCTGCTTCTGTACTACAGCTTCCAGTCCCCAAGGTCTAGGAAACATGGATATAAATTAGATGAATTCTGGATGCTCCCCAAGATCCAGTGCCTTAGTAGTGTTTGAAACAAAACTATTCTGATGCAACATAGTTCTCTGCTGGCTTACAGGTACTTAAAATAGCATGGCATTTACCTATTTATGCAAGGGAATAAGAGAGTATTTTTATTCTAACATTAATAAATGGAGCATTAGGGACACATTATTTTGTCATACATAATTGAAAACCTGTGGCTGTAGGTCTGAATTCTGCTTTTAACTGTGTCTCTAGGTCCTCATAAATCTATTAAGAGCTGGGTATGAGCTGTAAGTGTGGAATTTGGCTGGACACTTCTTGTTCCGTTTTGATTTTCTGCAGTGGATAGGTACAAGCTTCTACCCCAACCTCAACTGAAGTGCAGACTCTTCCTGGGCCTTCTGACTTATTTTACTTGAATGAAAATCCTGACTCTTTGCTGTCTTTGCTGCCACCTTTTGCAAACACGTTTTGTTTGTCTCAGAGGCTGCAAGAGCTCGTGTTTGGGGCTCTGTCTGTTACGGTTGGGTGAGTGGCTGGGAAACTGCAACGAGACTGCAGCTCTGCACATTGTGTGGGGAGAATGAATGGTTCCTTTCCAACCACTAGAACTTCCCTTGAGAATGGGAAATGTGAAAACTGCAGTTGTATTTATTGATTTCTCTCTGAGGATGCATCCTACTGTCCAAGCCTGAACATCTTAGATATGGCCCATCTCCTTTCTTGGTCACTTTACCATGACTCTTTGGATGTAGCTTTGGTATCAGTGTATAGTTCCTATATTATCCCTCAAGATCACTGTTTTCCTTACCTTCTTACCGTTGTGTAATGGCTTATGTATTTTGTTTGTAGTGCAGGTTTCTTTATGTGTTTGTATGTGTGAATAGGAAACATGACCCAATATTAGACTCACAATCAAAATATTGTTAGCTGTGTTTGGCCAGAAAATAAGTATATCCACTTTTTAAGCTGTTGGGAAGGGGGGGAAAAGTCTATCTGGCAAAGCATTTAAAAGTGCCAAAGGGATTTGGTTTCTGGATGAGGAGCTAGTTTTTCTAAACAAAACGTCTATACTTTCAAAAATATTTCAGGGCAATTGTTTCTGTATGAAGCACATCAGCCTTTTTTTCAGTTAATGAGCTCCCCTTGGAAGAGTTAAAAAGGGGTGTGGATGTGGCAGTTGTGGACATGGTTTAGTGGTGAACATGGTGGGGTTGGGTTAACATTTGGACTCAATGATCTGGGAGGTCTTTTCCAAATTTTTTGATTCTATGATTATAAATTACAGAGAATAAAATAAATTATTATTTACTTCAACTGTGCTATAGCATCTTTGGCAGAGGAAGAACACTTTACAATTTCTTTGCAAAGCCACTAGTACAATGGAAGACACTTTGCCATGCATATTCCAGGCTGGTACTGCATATGAGCAATGAATAACAGAAGTACATTGCAGCTCAATAAACTCTCTAGCTTTTCATTAGAACCAGCTTGCCAGTTCGCAGAGCAAAGAGTAAGATTCTTTTATTTTGCCTGATTTTAATCAGGTATTTTAAGCAGTTTTTCAGTTCATTTTGCTTGTGGTGTTCAGATGGACTGTCACACCTTTTCCATTAATGATCCATTTGGATTAATTCAGCCTATATAGCTGTTATAGTCACAGGTAACAGTAAATTTAAAAATTGAAAGTGTATTTCTGTATAGATTCAGATCTGAATTGGTCATTATGATTAAAAATGTTTTCTTGCTTACTTTTACTTCTTAGAAGAAGAAAATTGGTAGTTGTGTTTCTGATGTTGCTAGAGTGTGCCTCCCCAAATTTCTAGTTAAAATTGGGTGCAGATATTTAGATATTGTCATTGCTTCTTCATTACCTGGTAGGAGTTGTCTCTCTGGGCATGTTTGGCAGAGATACATAATTCTGCCTTTTTGCCAAAGCGTAAATATTCTCCTTTCAAAACTGAGTTTTGGTTGCTGAACAGGATTTGTTATATAGGCAGTGCAATTTAGGAGGTAAATGTGAAAATAGCGCATAAATAAAATCTAACCTCTGTTGTAGAAATAGGTAACTGCAAGGGATAAAGCAAACCCACTGTAAATTTTATCGTGTTTTGTGAAACTGTGCCATGCTGTTTGTAGAGAAATATTGCTGTTTTTTTGAGAAAAAAGTATCTCGATATATTTAAGAAATCAAATGCTGCTCGTTTTCCACTGAATTCACTATGCAAGCACATTCAGCATTTTTTGCAGTTTATGGACAGCTGAAGTAAATATATGTTGCAGGAAATACTTTTTGCCATTCAATTTCACCAAATGTTTACATGTGCCTTCCTTTAGCATACGAGTAATCTCTGTCAGTAAAAGGACAAATAATGATGTGTGTACATACACTAGATGTGTTTAAGCACTACCTGGACTGTGGCCTGGAGTATCAGAAGTATGTCTCTGGTAGAACAACACTGCATTTTAGTTTTTCAGGCCTTTCTTAAATCATGTGAATCAAATGGGCTGTGTAACCTCAAGGACAAATAACGCTTTTTTTCTCGTGTACAGAACGAGGCTCGAAAGGACATCTTGACCTCACAGAGTTAATAGGAGTCCCTCTTCCTCCTTCTGTCTACTTTGTCACGGGCTATGGAGGGTTCCCAGCTTACAGCTTTGGTCCCGATTCCAACATTGGCCGGCTGACCAGTGCTATCATACCATCGCCCTTCTACAGAGACTTCGCTATCGTGGCTACTGTGAAACCAAACAGTGATCGTGGAGGAGTGCTCTTTGCAATAACAGATGCCTTCCAGAAGACAATCTACCTAGGACTGAGGATTTCTCCAGTTGATGACAGCACCCAGAGAATAATCATGTACTACACAGAGCCTGGATCCCATATCTCCCGAGAGGCTGCCTCCTTTAAAGTGCCAATGATGACTAACAGGTGGAATAAATTTACAGTGACTGTTGAGGGAAATGATATTGCTTTGTTCATGGACTGTGAAGAGTATCAGAGGCTTCAGTTTCAAAGGCCTGCTCAAACCTTGCAATTTGAATCTGGCTCTGGCATATTTGTTGGTAATGCAGGAGCCACAGGACTGGAAAAGTTCACAGTAAGTGCTGTCTGATAAATCCACATGCCTCGGTGTTTAATGCATGTACTCCCTACCCAAGAAGTCCTGCTTGATGTGGTTATATCCCAAGTATGGGTCAAATCATACAGCTTGTATTTTCCATACCTAGCTAGGGTTTGGACAATGAAGTTATATAACCTCTGATTTAATATACAAATGTTCTGAGAGCCTCAGAATTTTATTAATAGTCCAGATATTAAGCCAAATCTTCAGTTTGAATATTAGAAATTTCAAGGTAAATATGTGACATAATTTTTTATAGCCTTTCTAAGAAGGGAAGATTTTAGAGAATTAATTTTCCTAATTTTTAAGAATACTGTACTATTAAGCCAATTATTTAAATTCTTATTAGTTAGGTATTCATATTCAACATCAGAAGGAGAATGATGTCATCAAACCTAAAGATAGTTGGAAGATAAGGGTGTATTTTAAAAATTTATTTGTTTTTTGAAGCTTATCAGGTACTTTAGGAAATAGAATGTACCAAAACCTCTACTACAAGGCTTCCAAGACTTCTTAGATTGAGTGCAAGCATCCTTTCTGCTGCATCCTGACTGAAATTCTCAGCCACTGAGAGCAGACACTATGTCTGAGATCAATTCTGTCAAATGGAAAGGAAAATGTCACACTTTGTCTGTCTTATTTTTGTATTTCCTGTACTTCAGAACTTGTAATGTGTTTTGTGAGATTAATATCTCCTCTAAATTTGTCAAGCAGCAGCACAAAACAGAGTGGATCCTTTTCTTTAGGGAATAAAGATGTTCTTTCCAAAATTCAGGCGTACTGGCAGGTTGGGAACTCCACTTGGTAAGCAGCAAGTTTAATGTACTTTTATAATTTGTCTGACTAGTCTAAGCATCTAGAATCACAGAACTATATGGATTATCAGGAAATAAAGGGTGGAAAGTGACATGTAGGAAAACTGCATGTTGGTGCTACCTTTCTGAGGCAAATAGGAGGACTGGAGTATTGTGAATGCTTGACCACTAAGTAGGATTGAGAAACATTCAAGAAAAGGAAACCACTTTGGTATCTGTCTTGGTTTGAAAAAGACAGGTGTCTGCTAAGGAAGGCAGGAACTTCCCCTGAAATGAAAAATGTAAAGCCCCTCCCTCTGAATTGTTATAGTTTTGAAATTAAGGGGCTCTCAGGCAAAGATATGGGAGCAGGAATAAGTTCTTTATTAGGGAAGAAAATAAAAAATAAAATAAACAAGCCAGTAATACAAAACAACACTGACAGAGTCAGAATATGACCTGACACCCTGTTGGTCAGGGTATTATTGGTAGCAGTCCAATTGAAATGGTGGCTGCAGTCCTCCTGGAGTGACAGATGTGGTTCTGTTGGAGCAGTGGTCCTGTAGAAGATCCAGTGTTGGTGTAGATGGGCCTGGTCTTCCTCTGGGAACGCAGAGGAGAAGAAAGCTGCTCCTCTGGGAATCCAGGGGAGCTGACTCTGTTGCTTCAAATCTCAGATTATACGCCGGTAGGAGTGCTTGGCTCTTCCCCCTGGGTGGAGCATCTCACAATAAGATGATGTAATTTTATCAATCATGCAGTGAGACTCAATGGCCCATTTACAGAAGGTATCTCCTCAGAGAGAGGATTGTTTTGTGGAAGAGATAAAGAAAAACTGCCCAATTAACAGAAGATAACTGCCCCACCTCTAACAGATGGCAATAGAATACACACCCTCACCCACATCTTGCAACCCACCATTATCCCACCTGGAAAACACATGTGGTGATCACTTGCTGAGATGATCACTAATAAATCTGTAAATATGATGACAGAAATGCATGGTGGATGACACTGTAATGCATTTCCACGGAAACAGGCTGTTCTGTATGCTATATTGAGTACATAAATTTCAGCCAATGCTCTGAGTGCTTCATTAGCACTAATTGTGACTTGTCTAGGTTCCCGTGCCTTTATTTTTTCTTGCATCATATGTCACAATTGCTTTTGAGTAGAAAAACTGAATGCTTGAACCTCATTCAAACTCTCAGTTTCTATGCCAAGAACTGTTTACATTAATTGCCTGAAACAGAAACAAATCATAGCAGATTGTGCAAATGAATAGATGTCAGATGTTGGTTTGCTCTGGCTAATGGGAATTCATGTGTCTAAGGCTCTGGTTGTCAGACACAAAAGGACATAACTATCATCAGTTTTATTGAAACCAAAGGAAAATCTAGCCCTGATGCTTGTAAAGAAAAGTAGAAACCAGACAACAGCCAAGTATAGCTGAATCAGTGATGATGCCAGATGCTGCAAACCGGTTTTCACAGGGAAGGCAGCAGCAGCTATAAGACCCAGAGAGGGAGTAAATATCACATACCTACCACCCTTCTCATGCAGACTGGTCCATGATTTTCCTAGTTGGAGGAATCGGCTAGCAGTAACACTTGGGAAACATTAGAGATCACCATTTTACTTTCTTTATCATCCAGGGCCACAGATTAGAGCAAGAGGAGAAAAATGTGTTCTCCAAATGTGATTCACATGTACTGTGAAAAAAAAAAGATCACTTCCAGGAGACTGCTTAATTGGTTGTGCCTCCTTTCATGTATGATTTTTCAGTGAACTGTTCAGTCAGTCTGACATCATTCAATATCTGAGTTGCCCATCAAGTTTTGAGAGAAATGGGATGTTGAGATTACAGAGCTATTGCTGTAGAAGTCCAGCAAACTCAGGAGGCACCAAGCACATGAATTTCATAATCTTCAAAGGCAGATAAATTAGAGGATTTTTAAAGATAGAATCAAAAATTTTATTATTTTCTAAAATATTCTAGGTTGTGTGTTATATAGAAACATGTTCTTGACTTGAATATCTATCTTTGTGCCCTATTGTGCATCTTGTGTGATCTTGTAATAAGGAAACATCCCCCACATTTCTTAAAGCACTTGAGACTTTGCAGAAAAAATAGTTAAATGTTTTAAATGAAATTGTTACTGCTCCTTCAGCAGGTCAGACTGAGAAGTACAGTTTGTGACTCTGAAAAAAGAAACATTTCTTATCAGAAAATCCATCTCCTTTATTTCCATTCTGGAAAGTTTTTAACTGGTTTCTTCCTGACTCACTTTGTCACTTATTGGTATTCCTTTCCCATCCTTTGTCTCAATTTTTAGGGTTTTCACATGCCACTTCTGGAGCTGCAGTGCACTTATTACCTAAAAAACAGAGTTTTTTACAGCGTGTGTGACATAATCCAGGACTAGATTCTTCAGCTGGGGCACTAACAATGTAGTGTGGTGATCACAGTGTCATTGGGACATGACAGTCATTATATTCTGGCAGCTTCCATTTGCTCTACATTTTACAAAAGAAAAATTTGTGAACATATTTATATCTTAAATTTGGATTACTATCATGAAATTTTATACTTTAGACCATTTTCCAAGCAAATCAGAACACAATTTGGCGAATTTTGTTGCTTCATTTAATTCCCACCCCTCCACCCTCACTCCCCTTCATAAATGCTACTTAAAATATTACTTCCTTGAAATGTTTTGGTGTTCCATGTAGGGCTCAATTCAACATCTGACAATCAAATCTGACCCAAGGGCTACTGAAGATCATTGTGAAGATGATGACCCTTATGTAAGTATTCTTATAAGCACTACTTCAGTGCCTCAGAGACTTCAAAGTAAATTTCCATTTGACATCTTTCATAACACTAAATGTGGATTTTTTTTCTTGGAAACATTGTATCATACTTAAATCTGTGGGGTGCATTTTGTTTACTGTACAACCCCCAAAACTATTTTTTCAAAAAGTATCATTTTGTTTTGTCTAAAAGAGCTTTAAAGAAATGAACTTTGGCTTTTATTTTTCTGAAAGGTCATTTTCATGGAATGCCATAAGTACTGAAATAAGTTAACATCATGATGACACTGAGGCTTCACGAGCCAAAAAAAGGAGCATTTTTCTGCATTTAAATAGCCAATTCCTTGGAGATCATGCTTTTTTCCCTAACTTTTATGAACTTCTTCCCAATAATTTGGTTTTGCACAGGCTTCAGGGGACAGCAGTGGCAATGGCAGCATTCAAGAACATGACAGTTCTGAGGCACAAGAAGCTCTGGCACCTTCTCATCTTCCCATAAGGGTAAATTTATTTGACTTATCTACTTTAAAACTCTGGTTTAATATTACTCTTTTAAAGGGTGGGGTCTGGATTTGATGAATAGCTTTCATAATTGGCAATTTCCAAGGCTCCTACAGAACAATGTGCACTCATCCATGAGAATGATGGCACAATGGCAGATAAAAGATCTGGTATATTTGATAACAATCAGCAACCAGATCTTGGTAAGAGATCCCAAGATCTTGGGAAGAGTGTAATACAAGATTGGGAAAATACATATGACACTTCCTGGAACACTCTTACTCTGCACCAATTTTTATCTCAGGAAATGCTTGTGCCAAGACTATATGTGGCTAGTGGAACTCAGCTGAGTTATTCATCCTTGAATTTCTTGCTTTGTTGTTTGGGATTTTTTTAACACATGAGATTTTACCACCCTCTGATTCCTGCTGCATAATTCCTTAGCTAACTTAATGACATGTTTTGTGAAGGACGTGCACCTTTTTCTTGCCCTTCTGAACATGCTGACTGCAGCTCTCATTTGGTGGTTAATTGACTGGATAACAGAGTAAACAGCTGTTTCTTACCATTTTTAGAGTTTTCCAACACATTGTGTCTGCCTCACTTTTTGTACCTTAAATATTAAGGTATGAAGGCTTAAGACTTTTGTTTTATTAAGGCTTAAATATTCTCGTCCATTCCTCACAATGAAGCTTTCCATGCTTCTTTTGTCAAACATTCTTTTTTTTTTTAATATAAGTTCTCATTGGTTCCTTTAGAGGAAATCAGTTTATTTCTGAGAAATGTCTTCACAGAAACTATGCTCACATTTGTCTGATATTGTACATGCTTCAGCTATTTCATTATTGAATCTCACAGAACCCAAGGGCAAATACTTTTTGGTTGTGATGTCCTGTCATTCACTTACTCTGTTTCCAACCCTTTTCATACAAAGACTTCTGTTTTAGTCATATTCACTGCTGAGTTTCCTAAGAATATTTTACTGCAGGAATTTTAGCTCTTCCAGGGTCATGAATGGAAGAAAACCTTATGTTTTTTCTATTATAGACTTCAAATTCTCTGATCACTCTTTTTGTAACTTTATTAACTATTGACCCAGCCTCCTGCTCCTGATGTGTTTGAATAAAATTTTATTATTTTTTTGCCTTTTACATATAGCTTACCAGACTCATTTTGGCCTGCCTTGTGCTTTGCACAGAATCACAGACTAGTTGAGTTTGAAAGGGACCTTTGAAAATTGCCCTCTCCAATTCCCTTTTCAAAGCAGAGCCAAATACAGCACGTTGCTCAGTAAGCAGGTTGTTAGTGCCAGTTGGTTTTTGGATTTCTTCAAGAATGGAGACTCCACAGCCTCTCTGTTTCAATGGATGTTTTTTTCTGACACATAGCCTTGTATGTGTCAGAAAATAATTTCTTGTATTTCAAAGTGTGTCCATTGTCTCGTTTCCCTTCACTGGCTACAGAGAAGGATCTGGTTCTGTCTTCTTTACTCCCTCTTGTGAAGATCTTCTACACATTGATAAGATAGTTCTGAGCCTTCTTGAGGCAGTCCTTCCTCTCTCATCTTTCTCCAAGTGATCAAAAGACAGGCAGCTGGCCCCAGCTGGTACTGCTACGTGGGTAATTCCTCACTGGATGCAGGATTTGCACTTTTCCTGAATTTTTGCAGCCAGGTAGGATTTTTCCAAATGGCAGCAAATCACCCCAGTGCTTGGTGACTCCTCTGCATTTTACATCACACCACAAAATTTAATCCAGGAAATCTTACTGTGTCTTGACTTTTTCTCATTTGGAAAAAACTATAGCTCATTCAGGAAATATGTCTAGCTTCTCTATCCAGAAAAATATCAATTCTTTTAGCTATTGTTTTTAGCTTCTGTTTAAGAATCTTCATAATTACTGCACTATTCAAAATTACACACAGCAATAGTAGAATTTTTTGGCTTTTATTCCTCCTTATGAAAGATGTGATTCAATCCCAGCTGGCCACTAAGCTCCATACAGCCATTTCCTCATTGCCCCACGAATGGGAGGGGAAAGAATTGGAAGGGAACTCAGAAAACTCATGGGTTGAAATAAAGATACCTTAGTAGGCAAAGCAATACTGAGCCAAGCTGGAATGAACCAAGCCAAAGGTCCTACCTCAGTCTCTGACAAGTGTATATTGCTTGTGGTTTCCTCCGTCTCTATGGGTTGCTCGAGTGTACATCCCTTGCTTTGGAGGAATGGAGTCCAAAGGTACTACTCTATTTTTTGTCAGAATTATGGTTTGCTTCACAGATATGGTAGTTATGATTACTGTGCTTTGAGGAAGGTAATCTAGTGATTCTTCCTTTAAAACATGTGATAAGCCTTTACTCTAAAACCGTTCTTTGGGATTTTTTTTTAGCCTGAAGAGTCGTTGGCTGAGCCAGTGGAAGCCCCCCCAACCATATTGGCTTATTTGGAAGAGAATGATTTCTCTGGAAATCACAGATCAGAAGAAATCTCAGAAGCAGCTAAATTAAAAGAACAAGGCACTGCCTCAAGTTTTGGGGATTTTTTTTGGGGGGGGGTGGGTGTGGTCATTTACATTCTCTGGTTTTGAGTTTGTCATTTCCCTGTGTATGGAAAGCCACTGTCATATTTTAAGTGCTGCCAGGAAAGAAAATTCTATGGTTTTGGACGTCCCGTGTGCTAGAAAAGAACTGGCACATCAAACATTTGGTCTTTGAAAGTGCAGTCTGTTAAACTGCAATTTATTAATAGCAGCAAAGGTAAGTGGTAGCAACTACAACCACTGTTCAAACATCTCTCACTTCTCCCTCCATATAGGGGTTTATCCCAGACTCATTGTTAAACATGCAGAGAATGGATTTACCCTTCTATAGTGTGGAAGTTTCAGTTACAGAATTGTAGTTAATATTTTAAAATCTTAAAAAAAAATTAGTTGGATAAAACTAAGAAACTGACCTGAGGAGCTGCTGTGACAATCTACTAAAAAAAAAAATGCAAGTGTAAGGCAAAGGGAATGAAAGGAGAAAAAGCATCTTCATTCTGCTCAGGTTGGTGAGAAGCATGACACCCCTTGAGTCCTACCTCTGCAAACCCTCCTGCTGGCTCTAAAACCACATGGCATCTTTAAAAGGGATCTAAGATGGATATTTATTTGATGACTTGGTACAGTAAAGCACAGCCTTTTAGTAAAACTGAATACTGCCAAGGAATAAACAACTATTTACTACTATTTGCCTCCAAAGGATGTGAATGTGCCTAATGCACCAGTGGGATGTTTTGGGTGCAAGAGTAGGCAGCACAGCAATGACAGCAAGGCATAATGCAGTGAGGAATCCTGTTCTCCATTGCTAGGACAACTTCAGGACACTCTTAGAAAACAAAAAAAAAAAACTAAATATATTAATAAGGCCAAAGACAGTGTTGTTATTTTAACTCCACACATACTTCAGATAGTACCTGTTGTAATTAACTCTCATTTTTTTGTGTTACATGGATGAAAAATAGGCAACCATTAGACTAGAGCCTGAGGAAAACATGATGATGCAATACAGTTCTGGACATTAAAATAGACATGTTTTTTAATTTTACTCTCACCTTTCTCTTTTTTTTTTTTTCTTTTAAAATTTTCAGAGTTGTAAAATGACTAATATTAATCTTTGGAATGTATTCCAGTCATAATCTGAATAATTTCTTTTTTCATAAAACTAGTAGCATCTGTCTGAGCAGGTTTTCTTTTGCTCTCTCATTAATAAGTGATTGTTTTATTTAGATTTAGCTGTCATGGAAACTGGACAAGACAACAGTGAGTCTACCACTGTCACACAGAAAATGCTAAGAGAAGAAGATGGCTCTGGTGCTGGTGTTTTGCCAGGAGTAAGCAGAGAGGAGGTCTGTATAACAGGTGGATCACATGCCTAGTCTTTTAGTCCCAAGAACATAAAAATCTGGGCTTTGAAACATATAGCATTTGTAAGGCAGTGTGTAACCTGAATTCTGTGTGGTTCTACAAATTAGAATTACATAGGTCACCCATTTGCAATCCTGTGAGCTACTGGAATACTTGCCCTATTTGTTGGTATGTTTCAAAAAAATCATCTGGCAGTACATTTTTTATTGATTAACATTCCTACTTCAACAGCCACCAGAGATTTTTCTAAGCAAAAAATAAATAATGACCTTTCCTTCCTCTTGCCTTGAGACTCCCACACCAAAAGTTCATTCTTTTTATTGCTTGATACTACAGTCATGACAGCTTCTTTTTGCCAGTAAACATGCAGTGTCATAAATGACAGAAATATAGAATTAAATTTCCACATTGTGTGTGTTTAGTTCAAATGTTTAAGGCTGCTCCTTGCAGGGTCTTCTTGTGTTCCTGTGTTTACTGGGGTAAAATATAGCAAGTGGTGAAACATTAAGTTAAGGATCATCCATTGGAGCTGACATAAGTTTTAGTATTTGTTGGAGAGCTTCCAAATATAATTCCTCTAACATTTTCATGCCTGAATTCACATATTTTTAAATCAGCAATTCTAGTATTAGTTTATATAAATAAATAAACCAAATATCAGATGAACTATTACCATATTTTTTTTTTCACTTTGGACCATTTTTCTTAAATAAAAATTCAGTCTTGATTTAGGAATTGTGCCACATTAAGCTTAAATCTGTTGTGACAAGTAGTTTTGCTACTTACTGATCTTTATAAGATTTCCTTAACTTTATTTCAATTTCTACATATTTTTCATTACACAGATACCCAAGAGGACTATATATTATAATAATGACCAATCATTTAGAAAATAATAACTTTAAAGAGTTGTTACTGCCACTTGTCTCTCAGTTTTTGCTTTGTTTCATGCTATTAATCACTGCTCAATGCTCCAATCTCTCCATTTGCAAGGCCTCCTGTCCTTCAGGAGCGCCACCGGCACCTCCCAGTTTGGAATCATCAGCAAACTTGCTCATGGTGCATTCAATTTCTGCATCCAGATCACTGAGAGATATATTGAACAGAACCAGCCCTAGAATGAAGCCCCAAGGAACACCACTGGGGGCCAGTCACCAGCCAGATGTGGCCCTGTTCACTGTAACTCTTAAGCTCTGTCCTTCAGCCAGATCTTCACCCAGTGCACCATGAGCTCACTCATCCCACAGCTTGAAAATCTGCCCCAAAGGATGCTGTGATGGACAGCATCAAAAACTTTATGAAAATCTAGGGAAATTACATCTACCTTTGTCTCTTCATCCTTCATGTGGGTGACCACCACAGAAAGAAAGCAAACCAGTTCAACAGGATTTTGCTTTGTGAACCCAGGCTGAGTGTTCTTGATAAGTGCAGTGTTCTTTAAGTGCATTTCAGTGGTACTCAGTATAATCTTCTCCTTAATCTAGCCTAAGTTTAGGCTGACAGATCTGTAGTTCTGCATCTTCCCTTACACCCTTTTTGTAGACTGGAATAACACTGATTATGTTCCAGTCAACAGAAACCCGCCCAGACTCTCAAGATCTTTGGAAGATGATTGAGAGGGGTCCTGCCATACCATCTGCTACCTCCTTCAGTACTCTAACACTGAATCAGGAATCCTATTGTCTCATTCAGGCTATGATCCCTACCCACAGTTTAACTACATAGATTCTCTTCTCAATTTTTTTCCAGATGGAAAAAAAATTCTGTAATTAGTCCAGATTAAAAAAATAATCCTGGTCTTTGGGACCTTTCCTTTTGGCAAAACCCAGAAAGGTCTTTTAAAAAATGATCTTACAGTTCCTTTGCTGAAAGCTGTTATCCTGTTAACTTGAAAATGCTTTGAGACTTATTATATTTCATCCCTCCTAGTTTCATTAGCTGCTAATGGAACTCAAAATATTTCATTGGTGTTTTAAAATGTGAGTAAATTGTACTGCTTCTTTCAAAATACAATACTGACTTACGTGTCTTGTTCTGTATACTTGTTTTTCATTTAAATATGTATTAATGTCCAAGCTTCATTCCTGGAAGGTTTTGTTTTGTTCCTGGAATATTTGAATTATTCCTTTTGTTGTTATTACTTTCTCTGTACCAAATACTAATGTTTAGCAATATTTTAGTCTTTCTGCTGTCCATTTTCACTCTTTGTTATCATTGTTTCATCTTCTGCCACTTTTTAACCAACATGTAACCCTCCTTTGTTAGAGTCCGGGATCTTGGGGAAGTTGGCTAAAACACTCCAAAACATGTCTATCTTAACTCTTGCAACTTCTTCCCTGGCAGACTGAGTAGGTGAAAACTGTATTTTTTCAAACCTACACTATTGACTTAGACTATGCAGATTTATGTAGATATGAAATTAGATCAAGGTCATTTGCATATAGGTAACCAGCTTGGAGAGCAATTTATTTTTAATTGAAATGAATGATCTTCAAAATGGATTGCCTTTGCTGAATGGAATATACAGTTTGTATGATGCCTGTAAGGTTCTGGCTGCATAGAACAAACCAAGGGTTGGAGGAGAAAGGGAAGGGGCGGGGGGGGGGCGTGGCTAGAGAGAGAAATGGGGAAAGTAATACAACACATTTTTCATATTTCACATTTTAATTACTCAGGGCCAGAAAGGTCAGGAAGTAGAAGACGGGTCCACAGAGTCTCTAGGAGGGTCAGGAATAGAAGATGTGGAAAATAAAGATCAAGGACATCCTGGATATCCAGGGAAACTTGGGGAGCTTGGTCAGCCTGTGAGTATTTTCTCTCTGTTGAAAGAGAACATGTATTTTAGAAAGGGTAATAGTGATCCATCACACATGCATGGAGAGCTGGAACTGCACAGCCTTGCACACTGTCACCTGTTACACTTCTGCGAGATGGGTTTTAGCCCAGCAGCTCAGGAGGGTCCAGCCTACGCTGCACACTTGCCAGGGGCAGGGGCCTGGTGGCAGCCATCAGAAAGCAAAGGCAAACAGCTGCTGTGCTGACACAGAAATGTTCTCAGAGCAGCAATTCCACCAACTCCTTGGACAGCACTGCAGCACCCTCCCAGCTGTCATGTTTAAGTGCGGACAAAGGTGCAGAACTCACAGGCCTCCTTCTGTAGCTTCTCTATATCCAGGATGTTTCACACTTCAGATCCTTGTGAACCATCAGCACAAAATGCATGAGATTAAAGAGAGGTGCAAAACATTGCACTGTGCTTGATACAGTTCTGGTTTGTCATTTTGTCACTTCATAGCACATTGCAATTTAATTAATTGCTTTTATCTTTTGTTACTTCTATGTTACAGTGTTTGATTTATCTTTCTAACAAAGATTTTCTATTTTAGGGCATTCCTGGTAAAAATGGGTCACCCATAAGTATTTTTTATACATATTTTGGTTAACTGAACTAATAAAAACACAACATTTTTTATGAGGATCTGCTACATTGAGGCTTAAGCAGCAAAGTGTTTTCTTCATCTTCTCTCTTTAGAAGACAGTTCTGGTGCCATAATTGACACCATCAGGTTGTTAAGAGAGTAAAATTTGGGTTTCTAAGAGAAATTTATGATTTCCCAGTTGCAAAGAAAGTAAGAGGCATGGCATTGCGTAAGCAGCTGTATCAGGAATTCAGCTCTGGTGAGGCTGGCTTTTTTTTGCAGAGGGAATTTCAAAAGGGGACATACTCAGACCCTTTCTAGAGGGGTGCTTCATTGACCCTCCATGGACACATGCTTCCATGTTTCCTGCTCCTAACCTCCGCTGCAATTAACTTTGTAGTTAATTGAGAGTACTTTTGAGTTAATTGAAATGTACCTCTCCCCCCTTTAATCCTGTGCAGTCATTCAACTGCATCTTCTATTCATCATTCCTGCTTTCCTTTCTCTGAGTTCCTCTACTTTACCCTTCTCTGTCACATTTGCTGTCCTCTTCCTGGGGTGTTCCTTTACAGCTTCTCCAGATAACTCCCAGCCCTGGGTCAGCCCACCACCAGCTGCTGATAGCCTGCACATGCATCCTCTGTGTGAGGTATTGCCCAGCAAAGCACACAAAAACAAACCTGTAGCTGTCACATTCCGTGCGCGTCTCAGCTGCTGTTCTGTATCTGTCCTCCACTGATGTTCTGCTGCCTGGCTTCTTTGTTTCCTTTCTCATTTGTTTGTCACTGCCACTTTGTGCACCCTTCCCTCTCCAGGACCTTACCACCCAGAGGCTGTCACTATTCCATGCCTGCTCCTCTTTTTCTATTCTAACACGTGCCAGTGCCATGAGCTTCCTGACCCTTCCTGCCCCCTGCAACTGAACCTCAAATGAAACTGGTGTGTTTTAAGAAATTAAAAAAATAATTCAGTGGTCATTCATGGAGTGCATTATTGTGCTCCTTCCTGAATGCTGCCTTCAAACACTGGTATGCTTAAAGAAATATAGCTAGGTTTGCAAACATTTAGCCAAAACTCAGGTTTTGTGCCATTAGGGTGTTTTTGGACAAGAAGTTTATATTTTATGTATTAACAGAAGTCTGACTACTTTCATGCAGCATATCGTCAAAGAAAATTCTATTAAACCAATATATCTTAGAGAAAATTCTTCAAATGTAATTCAGATGCTTCAAAACCAATTATCTTCTCCTTGTGAACACAATCCCAATTTCTATTATAGACATTTTGTGACAGTGTCTTACATTTTTGTAGTTGCTCTTTTGTACATGTGCATCTGGTTTCCAGTCTTACATATACCCATGCAAGTTTACTTTTGGTTTGATGGGGCTTCACTCATCAATGAAATTAGTGTGTTCTACATTTATGTTGGTAATGTGTTTGCTACTTTTCTATGAACCTGCTACCAGTTTCTCTACAGGAAAAATCATCATAGGAAAAAAAACATCCTTCAGCCTTAGAGATACATTTTTCTCCCTAATGACTTTATATAACCCATCTTTAAAATTAGGGCAGTCTTAAAACTTGTCCAGTAGAGTCCATAACCACAGCTGTTCTGATTCCCAAAATGCCAAAATAGTGGGAAAATTATTTATTTCCCTACTGAGTATTGTCTTGAGTGTCCTAACTGAATTCATAAGCACCCCCATTTTATAAGAGCACTGACTTTAAACCTGGTGGAGTTCTTTCTAGCCAGTGAATGAGCCTCTATACATATTGTATGGAGGTGATATGAAGATATAAAGAGTAATTTAGTATTCATTTGACTGGTGAAGTTTAGAATGGAAAATGGGGTGAAATGCTATCTAGTATACCACATTGCCAGTCAGAAGTATCTTCAGGAAGGATACTAGTTTGTAGAAGTTGAATAGATTCAAGTTGGTTAAGGAAAAAAAAGTTTTAGTAGATGGAGGGAGCAGGCTTAAGTTGATGGTATAATTTTGTGTACTCAGAGCAGCAGCTGGTAGTAATGTGTAACCAATATTACAGTTTTAAAAATCCTTGCCATCAGTGCTGTGGCAGTCCTGTTGGCACTCTGTCAAATCCAAATGCAGCCTGCAGGTGTTTCCATCAGAATGCCCCAAATAGGCTTCTCCTCTCTGTGGGAAGAGTAGGCACATTTTTTGGGCACTGCCAGGGGCATTCTATGCCAAGTCTCTCTTACTTCCTCCCACTGTACAAACCAAGAGTTAGAAAGAACCTAGCACCATTAAATCCAGCGTCTGCTGCTAAGTGTACAGCCTGTTCAACCTACATGAAAGAAAATGTCTAATTAAAAAAAAAAATTCCTTTTAGGGCAAAAATGGATCTCAGGGGTTGCCAGGACAGAAAGGAAAAGCAGGCCCAAAAGGTGAAAAGGTATGTGTCCTGTTAATCCCCAGCAATCAATCAGATACAATTTATTCTTAGATATGTATTAATTTGGTATAGTCTGAGAGAGGCATAAAATATGGAATCACAGGAAGAATTTAAACATCCTACTGTTCATTCATGAATGGCTGGATGACACCACATCAGAATAAGTATTTTTCAAGGATGTGAATAAACTTCAGCAGTAGAAAAAGTTGGGCTTTCACAGAAGAGCTGAGGAAGATATATTGAACACTTAATAAAGAAAAGGCAGTTGTTGTATATAACTGCTCTGGGCAACTTACTCTACTGGGTAAGTGATTTAACAGAGGCAGTATAATCATATTACCCTTAGGAAATGAACATAATTGAAATAAGACTTAAACCATCTGAAGTAACAGCTTGTATCTCTTCTGAGATGAAGTGAGATGTAATGGATTCATCTATTATTAAAGTACATGTTGTACACAAAATTGACATACAGATAGTAAGTCCAAGTGTCCAATTATAATTCCTTTCATCTGTTTAACAAAACAACACAGACTTCATAAATTCACAAACATGACCCATATAAATCTCATCTATTCAGATTAGTTTGAAATTGTCCAGAATCATTTCAAAGGTAAAATTACTCTCCAGTACAGGAATCAGGTAATGAGATTGCATGGCAACCCCCTATCTCTATGTCTAGCTGTAATAGAAATTTGTTGAGCAGAGTGTTCTCATAAACTGTAGAGAAGTGAAAGCATGTGGGGCAGTCAGGGAGCATCTCAGGTACATCATGATGGAGACACTCTTGCTCTCCTCTGGGACCTGTCTCAGGTACGTGTTCACAAAACCAGGCAGTGTGAGAGACAAACAGGAGGACTTACAAGTCCATGCACAGTCACAGGGCTACCACCTCTCAGAGATTCCGGAGACATGGTGGGATCACTCACAACAGGAGTGCTACAGTGTATGGATACAGGCCCTTCAGGAAAGGTAGGCTGGGAAGGCAGATTATCATTAAAACACTCTGTCAGTTGTCAGCAGGCATCACAGGCACATAAATGTCGTTTGACAGTTAGCTTTTTAGGTTTCTTGCAAATCTGCTTTGGTCCTTCTTGTGACCAAAGTTATTTCTAGGGTACTTGGTACTGACATAAATAATTCATCTGTAGGAAACCATAAAATCAGACAGGATTCTTTTAATGAAAACAAAGCAAATGGAAAAAATGCCAAGATTATTTTGCAGCTGCTATGGCGGCAGCTTCTGTTGGGTGACCATTCCAATCTTCAGCAACAAGTGCTACACCTACACTGGCTAATGGAACAGGCCCAGGAACTGATTTGCTGATGGTTCAGACTTGCAGGCATGGTTCCTGACAATGTTTTGGCTTGTATCAAATAAACCTCACTCAGACAATGCTCAGGCCATCAGTTGTTAACTACTCCCATCACGCTGCAAGATGAGACTGAGCATAGGCTCTGTATTCCTCCAGTGCCATCCCAGTAAGCTTTTAACTTTCAAATACTCATGCTGATGGAATTCAGTGTATGTCTAAAGTTATTTAATGCAAAATGTACAAAAAAACGTGCTCAAAATACTAGCTTTGAACATGTAGGGCTAAAAGGAGTCCCAGAGTCAAGTACCTAAGGATTGTGGGCTCAGCCAGTCTGTTCCAGCTGACCTCACAACCAAAGGCCATCCAGCCTAAGTTTATTGATCAGAATAGCCATCAGAAGGAGAAAATTCTAGCAGCAGGAGAAGCAGCTTAGCTGTAGAGAGCAAAAGTTATATTGGAAAGGAAAATACTCCAATGGTCTTTTCCTGATTACTTTTATGTCTACTTTAGTAAAGACCTCTTAAGCTTAGTTTTTAATTTAAAAATTGGATGAAGATTTTCAAGGGACACTTCAAAGAGACACTGTGAAGTTAGCAAAAGAGTGCTAAAAATCCTAATGATACATTCAAGAGCACTGAGGAAAGCCGACCGCTTCATATGCAGAGCTTCGTCTTGGAAATACTTTAAACAGACAATTCTTGCAGTAAAAACAGGACAAACAAGACACTGTTCTGATCCTCTTTTATATATATGAATTATTTTTAAGTTATCAGCTGTTCAGCAAATTGTTTCAATATCCTAATGAGTATGATTTCCTAGGCCTGGCTGTGTGGGTGGAGTGACCAAAACTTAAAGAATACACAAAAATTCATAACTGTTATGCTGTCTAAAGACAGTCAGCACCTTTTCCAGTATAACAATATCTAAATTTCAGGAACAGTAGTAGGATCCACCTTCCTCTTTCTGGTTCTTCTAACTGAAAACGGAAAGCCAAGAATGAATGGGGCACTACTTATCAGTGGAGAATGGGGAGCTGCTGTCACTTTTCCGCCATGGTCAATGTTCTTTGTAGAAATACAGACATGAGATGCTCCTTGGGAATGGATACAGTCAGGCTTCCTAAAAATGACCATGACCCAAATGTAATATCTGAGGTTTTTTCTTCCTTGCAGTGCACACAAAGTGGAAGAAATTGCATGAAAGCAAGCACCAAACAAGCACTGCCAGGAACTAATGTAATAGTCATTGGAAAAAAACAAGGATGTTTTAAAATGAATGAAGAGCATCTGTAACTGAACATGCTGGCAGACAGTGAAAATAGCCCCAAATTAATTAAACACACTCTCTCTGAATATGACTGAAGTATCACTATAGGAACCATTTGACAAAGCTGCAAGGAACAAAGAACTGAATGAATACATTTATCTAATGAACTCTCAAACATAAAGAGCAAGTGAGCAAGACACAGTTAAAAGTCAGTGTTGCCTGCTATGTAATCAAATATGTGAATTTATAGAACACAGTTTAAATGCTCATAAGCCCAGACAGCAAATTGGCAGGTTAGAGGGTAAAGCACAGATCAGTGGAGGCAAAACCTCAACTCTTGGCTCGAGTGAAAAATACTGGACTTGAGCAGAAAAATTATTAAAAGTCACAAACATCTTAAGCCAAAACAATTCAAACTAACTTCACCAAAATGTCAGAGATGATGTAAGAAAGACAAATTATAAGAAATGGTAGTAATTATGAGGAAAATGACACATATTTGAACAGCAACTTTCATTGTGTTGGCAGTAGATAAAGGTCAACTCACAGAAGAAAAATCATGTTGTGGTAATATTGAAAAAAGCATTAGAGAGGTTACCAATAAAATCAAGACATTTACAGATTGAATATCATGGTGTGACCACACTGACTACATTTTTTTCTGGTTTGGTTTGGTTTTTCATTGTTTTTTTTTTTTTGGTGGGGTGAGGGTTCATATATAATATGCCCTAAAAATGCAAGATCCACAGTTAAACCTCATTCTGGCAAGACATATGTACTGCCTAACGCTGTTAATGCTGCTTGTACATTTTCAAATTCATTGCAGAAGTTAGAAAAGGAAGAGTTCTTTCTTCCATTGCCAATGTGAACATTGTGTTCCTTGGGAGCTTGTCTTAGAAATGAACGAAGTCCTACCCTGCTCATAAGCAGCCACTCTGTGACTGGAAATCCATTGAGATTGTAGCTAATGCTTATAGTCTTTATATGGTTAAATCCTTGCTGACTTATGTTAATTCCCTTTTCAGGGTGATCCTGGTGAGGGATTGCCAGGATCCCCTGGACGACCAGGACCTCCAGGACCATCTGCTCCTTCCAGAGGATTAGTGAGTATTTGGAGCTCTCTGTTAATGAGCTCAGCTTGCCACAGAGAACTCCAGAACTAAACAGGAGGTTTTCTCTGGGAAAGTAGCCTGACAGCCACAGAGATAATCATGTTTTCTAAAACATTCATGCAGAAATGCAAATAAATGTCTGACTGAAGTGTAAGCTACATAAACACCCAGTATTCACTTTTTAAAACATCAGTGGATGTGTGTGTTCTCCTGTGGAAAAGCAACAATATATGGGAGAACACAAAAATTTCCATGAAAAGGCATTCTAAACTTAAATTATTAATTTCTTCCTGCTACGGAACAGAGAAGTGATTTGACAGTCAGTTATGTTTGCTGTCATTAAATACTAGAACACATACTAACATGATGGCAGTGTTTGTATTTTGAGTGCTTAGTACTCAGGCAATGTTAAAGAATGAGTTTCAGATCCATCTCACTGCAGTACTTGGACTTTTCTCACTATATCTATGAGGATACATGTGCATGCAGCTAAAGACGGAATCTGGCCTGAATTTTAGGTTCATGGTGTGAGAGCTGATTTTATGCTTAGACATAGTTCACCACTGACACCAGTGGAAATCCTGGACTTTTACACAAAACCATCTGTCACACTGGATATCATGAGTGTTTACCAAGAGAGTTTGAAACATATTCCACTAGCCAAAATGGATTATATGCTCCCCTGATTTTGGTCTGCTAAATTAAGCCAATACATTTCTGCAGCATAAAAACAGATTAACTGTGTTCTGCTGCATTACTGAGCCTGCCCTGCTGCTTCAGGAGACCAGCAGGGCAGCTCCAAATCCCTAGGACAAGGTGTTCCAGGCCAAAAGTTTTACCCAGTCAAAGGTCACTTCTACAAATATAGCAGGGAACACAGCCTTTCCTTCCTTGTTCTCTGTGACAGCAAGTTTCAAGGCCTTTTATTCTGTAGTGAGGTGGAAGAAGTCTCAGTGCAGCCAAGGAATGCATCCTTAATTCCCAAGCATTTGAAACATTCGCTTTGGTACTATGATAATTTATTCAGGTAATACTTCTCTCGGTGCTTTTCTTTGTAGTCTGCAAAATGTACACAGCTATGAAACTCACCAAGGACTAAACGCTAAGGTGTTTTTTCAACAGAAGGTCTTAGAAATGGCTTTGGTATATTGATTTCTCCTTATAAAAGTCATCTTTTTAATTCCAGTTGTAGTAATCTCAAAATTGGGCTTTTTAAAGGAGGGAAGCATTGTAGGAAACAGGGGTTATTTGTAAGATCTGCATTTTAGGATATTCTTAATGTTGACAGGTACTGTTGAAGTTAAAATTTGTCTGAGATATTATTTCAGTTCACTTAAACATTCTCATGGCATGTGTGTCCTGCAGGACAGTTATCACTGTGCTCATAGAGCACCTGCAGGTAAGTACAGTGCTCTGTGACTACAAAAGAAGATGGTATGAAACACCAGAAACAGAAGTGAAATGTTTTTGTTGTATTATAATTTATTTTACCAGTGACAGACTGCTGTAAGGATATTGATGATAGCTGTATTTTCAGTTAATGTCAAGTGATATTTCCATTTGTCATCTTTAGAAGCAGTAATTTAAAATGGAATTCTCCTAATTTCAGAATAGACTGGAACCTGAAGAATCAGGTTCTGGAGATACTGACAGAGAGACCGAGATTTTAAGGGTAAGCAAATATTGATATTTTTCATGATAAAGAGCTTTATTTTACTCATGCAGGTTGTAGAATTTTTCATAATGCAAGTTTTATACATGCTTAATTTACAGTATCTAGAAAGGAGTTGTAGGGTTTCATTTCAAGGTCAGAAAAGGCCTAAATGCTTGTGAGTGGGGAAGAAATATGAGACAGGAGGCGGCCACCAAAGAAATATTGCAGGAGGACTTTTCAAAATGAGAAAATGCTTTTAATCTGACTATGAGAAGACAGTAAAGAGGAGAGAGATGGGAATCATAGGTTCATGGAATCATAGAAAGGCATAAATGACATCTTGTTCCATGCCATGGGCAGGGAAACCTTGCACCAGACCAGGTTGCTCAGGGCCCCATCCAACATGGCCTTGAACATTTCCAGGGATGGGGCATCCACAGCTTCTCTGGGCAACCTGTGCCAGTGCCTCACCACCCTCAGAGTAAAGAATTTCTTCCTAATGTCTAATCTAAATGTACCCTCTGTCAGATTGAAGCCATCACCCCCTATCCTGTTACCATAGACCCTTGTAAACAGCCCCTGTCCTGCTCTCTACCAAGCCTCTTTTAGTCAGTGGAAGGCATTATATGGCCCTAGTCTTTGCTTTTTTCAATATAGAGTATCTGTTCTAAAAAAAAATAAGTGTATCTGTATGAAATGCTTTATGGTGCAGCTTTCTGGTGAACTGAACAGCAGTAACACTGCAGCTTTCTGAGTTCATTATGGTTCCTATGAACTCCAGAATGCTCTAGCACACTGGAGGCCTCTACTTTGTAGCACAACTAGAGGTATTTTTCATTCTCTCAGACTGGTTTCTGCCTCAGGAGTCCTCTTCTGTTTCTTTCTTTTTACTCAGAAGTGCTTACTACCCAAGGCCCTTCAGGAGTCAGTTGCCACATGCTGAAAGTTAGCAATCTTGCCTAATTTAGGAGCCTCTTCAGATACCTTTTGTAGGTGACAAGACAGGTGAGTGCACTGCAGAAGGCTCTGTTCAGTGCACTGAAAATCCAAGATAAGCCTCTACCAGATAGAATCCTGTACATGGCCTCAAGTCAGAATTAAAGATTTCCTGACTTATAGTGCCATGGCCCAAAACTTCAAGCTCTCTGTCTCTGCCTGCTAATGCAACCAGTAACACAGATGAACTTGGACATGGGAGGAAATATTTGCAAACGTACTGTTCCTCCTAAAATAACATTTCCCTCATTTTATTCCATTTGTTTAATTTAATACCTCTGCTCATGTCCATGCAGGATAGATCTTTAGAGTGGAGGCCAGTTTTATAGCACTAAGCAGGTCTGGACCATGAGTAGGGATTCTCAGTGCTCCAGCAATAACATGGACGAACCCTATGAAATGGTAGAGGAGAAACAACCAACCATTTCCCTCTGTACAATGATGGTTTCTTTATGGTTAAGTCTCTTATCATTAGATCGATCCTTGGGATATGTCTGAGATCTCTATTGGGTTACAGAGAGCTGACTTTTATTACTTTTTGTTTTAAATGTTTCTATTTCAATGCTATGAGGTGGCAGAGTTCAGAGAGCACAGGTGAGGGAGATCAGTGTGACCCTATGTAAGGGCATATCTGTGAAACCAAAATTGGTTCTCAGTGAAGCAGAATGTGGGTGGAAACCCCAGCTGAGTTTTATGGCTTTATGAGCCTGAAAAGTCTATGTGAGCTTTTTCCTGTTCCACATATATAGAAATGAACCAGGCTAGGATAATTTCTAACACTCCTGCTGATTTATCCAGGGTCTTCCAGGGCCACCAGGCCCTCCAGGACTGCCTGGTCTTCCAGGAAACCCAGCACCTGATTCAGGTGTAGGACCTCCTGGGTCATCAGGAGAAGATGGAGGTTCTGGGGAACCAGGCCCTGAAGTGAGTACCCTTTTGTGCACAAAGCTTGAATCTTATGCAAATTTATACAAAAAAAAAAAAGTCTTGTTAACCAAAGCACAGCACTAATGTACATTTGACAGACAGATACTGGTGAATCTGGACCAAAATAAATAAAAATTAAGAATGCTTTTGCTTTCAGGAAAATAAAGTTTGCTAAATTACTTACATAATCTTTAGGGAATTTATAAAATAAACTGAATTTTCCTCTTTCCTCTTCTATCCTTCTCTTCAGCTAGGTAGAAACACTTATTCCTCATGTGAAATATAATTTTACTGTAAAAAATGTTGCTAAAGTCTGACTTGCAAATAAATTCTCAGTAAAGTGTTTTTTCAGTGAAGAAAATAATGTTTTTTAGCATTGAACAGCTTTAAACATCCTCTCTGGAATGATGAGATTAGCTCAGCTGTTTGGAGCATGGTGCTAATAAAGCCAAGGTTGTGGGTCTGATCTCTGTGCTGTCCATTCATCTAAGAGCTGCACTTGATGATCCTTTCCAATTCAGAACAATCTCTGTTTCCATAAATTTACTAATATAGTTCCCTTATTCCCTATCAACCATCTGCCAGCAGCAGTTGTTCTCAGGAAAAGATTTTTCCTGTCCATCACAGAGCCCTCAAAGTGAGTAACCATTTCTGTACCTGACAAGGTGTCATTAGCATATATCAAGGAAGTGTACAGGTGACAAGTGTTAAAAAGATCTCACTATTTCTCAGCTCTCTTGGAGGGGTTTTTTTTTGAGAATAACCAAGTTGGGAGTTGATACAAAATCTAAAAAGTGTTTGGCCATCCAGGTGGAAAGCAGCATCTTTTGTGCAGAAAGAAATTTAGGCACCTGAAAGTCTTTAATATGGGATTCAAGAGTCAAGTGCATGGAAAGCCAAGGAAATCCATTATTCTCTGCATCTACTGATTGTTATATGGATGGCAGTATAAAATAAAAAAGTCTAAAATGCTGACCAGATTTCATCTAATTGCTAAACTCCCAACAGCACTCTTTTTATTTTCTGAATCCAAGACGGATCAATTTGTATTGAGGATTACAAATGTAATTTTAAGAAAATGCGTTAGCAGGTCTTACGAAGAAGACAGTTACCCTAATGTTTCATTTACTGCGTTTGATAAAGTGCAGTATTAGATTAAAAGATTCTCTATAACAGCTTCTTTGCAATTCAAACTGTACCTTCAACTTTCATGACTGTGAATATTTCCATATCCTTAGAACATGAAGTAATTCAAATGGTCTAGGAAATAGTACTAAAATTTGCCATAAAAGAATAATGTAAAAAGGAATTAAAAGAAAATGGAGAAATAAGTATTGATTCATTTTTTTATTTTTAAAAATGAGTGTATTCCCTCTTGTGTAATTTGGGATTTCACAGGCAATAACATGAACTACTTGTAGACAGTCAATTTTCTGGTGCAACAGAAATCATTGTTTCAGGATAGTTCCTGGGAAATGTATCTGTTAAAAAAAGTAGAAGCTAAATGTTAATAAGACTACTAAAGAACACTTTCAGAAGAATCAATCCAGGACAAATCTGCAGGCTACTAAAGGAAAACTCCAAATATTAAGAACACAGACCTATGCATTCCCACAATTTCAGATGACCCAAGAAACTGTCATTCTGCTATTCAAAGATTTGCACACATTTGCACACTCCGAATAAATGAAGTGAGCTCAATTCGCAACAGAAATGTTTTGGTTGGGGATCCTCATTAAGTACCACATTAACACATTTGTGTTATTAAGGGTTTTCAGCTGTGAATTCTAATTCCAGAAGATCAGCCAATCGCTTGAAGTTGGGGACAAGCTTAAGTCCTTGCTAAAACAAGAGCTTTGTGATGTAGCACCTCTTCTCTCTACAAATATGTCTTAGAAATGTTTCAGTAAAGTCTGCATTTTATAATGGGAAATACCCCCACACAAAGTCCTTCACAATGCATTTCATACTGATATGGTATTGATCTGATTAAATACACATTTTCTAAATGCTACATGAAGTTAAATTGACTCATAGCATTGTATAGGGACAGTTTCTATCATAATTTTTTGTTTGAGATAGCTCACAAATGCATTAATATACCCTGATGAGAATAACAAATGTCCCAGCGTTGCCTGCAAGCTACACAAGAGAGACTGTTCTAAAGCTCTTGAGGAAATTAACAATTTTAGCATAATGAAGCCTAAAATTGCTAAGCACTAGAGTGGAAGTAATCAGTAAACTTTAGAATAGTTATTGTTCTTAGCTCAACCTCTTTTCTTATTCTCCTCTGTCTATGTAATCATGCCAAAATACAATATGAAAATGTTTGAAACATACTGAAAATATTTCTGATTATTCTCAATATTAAAAAAATCCATTACTTAGTCTATGACTTACAGTGCATCTAAAGAGCAAAAGCAGGGTGGGGGGGACAGAGAGAGCCAGAAAAATGAGGCTTTGTGATAATTCTGAAAACATCAGAGGGAAACTGCTTTCTATCTGCTTTGCTAGCCATTTATATCCTTCCCCAAAACAGATGAATAAATAAATATTATTAAAGATCCCCAGAGGCCAGAATACACTGCTGTAAATGTAGTCAAAGGCTTTCAAGCTCAATTTTAAAAATGTGGTCTGTGAAATATGCCTGTTACATTTCATGCATGTCTTGTTACTGTGGGCTGGACTTCAATATATGTACAGATTTATTGGTTGATCCTACAAACCAGTGTTTCCCAGCCTGCTTGCTCACTCAAATGCATGCAGGATAAAAGTCATGGATACAACACCAGAAAATGGGAGGAGAACTTAATATACACTTTTCAAGGCAAAACTAAAGTGAGGTGTCATGAACAACATGAGCACCATCAACCAAAGCAAAGTGGCGGCACCTTTTCTTCTGCAGAAGGACTCTTTAGGAACACTGCTCCTGAAAGTGTAGGAATGCGCCTCCAGGCTCAGCTACCCAGGGACACCTGGCAAAGTGAGTCTGAATAATCCAAGTGCTTATTCAGGCTGCCCCATGTGGGGAGCTGAGGCCCAGCCTCAATGTTCCCAAGGGAGGATATCACTGGAGTTTTATGGATCAAGACCTCTGTCAGCCTACAGGCTTTTCTGTTTGCAGTGACAGCACAGAAGTCTCCTGTTTGACACCATTCCCTCCATATCACAACTGCCTTTAGCGATTCTACCACACAGAAACCCTGGCGTTGATTTTGTCAATACCAAAGTTTCCTCAGCTGGGTCTCATCTGGCACTGACATTGCCAAAAGTGTAGATAACTGAGGTGCCTGGGGATTTCAACCCCATCGTGTCTTTTACAGTACCTGCTTGGATAGCACCATAATCTCTCATGCTAAGGTTATATTTACAATATGCTGGGGTTTATTTTTGTTAATAATTTATGATTATTGTATATAGTTTTCTATTAAAATACATTAAAATATTGGTTTGATACAAAGCCAAACTCTCAGAAGAAAGAAATAAAAGTGTTAAAGCTTAGTGGTGGGAGGTACTACACATTACTCTTTCATTATGCTGTATCGTCAGTTCGTCCCTAATACTTAAACACATGTTCTAGAAATCAAGCTCTCAAGTGGCACCTGCTTTAGATTTACTGTCATCTACAGGGCCCTCAAGGTCCTCCTGGCTGTGACGGAGTGGCTGGCCCACCAGGATGGAAGGGAGAAAAGGTGAGTTAAATGTCTGTCTTGCTCCTACTTCAGTGCAAAATCTTTGTCAATTCTAGGCTGTAAGAATCATAAGCAGTTGTTCCTGCAACACAATAGCATCTGGCTTCAGTATTTTTTAATGGAATCCAGATACTAATGGCTTATTAGAACACATCTCAAAAGGCATATTCAGAAATCCAGAATTTCCTATTGGCTAGTGTCTTGTTTTCTGAAGCATGCAATATTTGATATGCAGTATGAACTACTCTGTTGTGATTTGCCACTCAAAAACCAGTAGTGACTGGGCTCAGACAGGTGAATCTGGAGGGGGAAAGGGAGAGCTCCAGTTAGCCCAGCCTGGCACAGAGTGACAGCACATTATATGACAGGGGAGAAGAGTCTGAAGGAGCACAGACCATTTAAATTGGCAAACAAGAGACAAAATCATGGCCTACACTGGCTGGGCACCATATGCCCACCAGTGAAAAGCTGATGGGTCAAGATAAGGACAGAAAGATCACTCAGCAATTACTGTCACATGCAAAACAGGCTTGACTTGGGGAAATTATTATAATCCATTGCTTATCAAAACATCATTTGAGCACCATTTTTTATACCCCACTTCAAGAAGGACGTGAAGAAAACTAAGACAAAGACTACAAGACAATTTCATCCTCTAGTGAGCTTCAACAGCATACTTTCCGCACAAGAAATTGAAAGTAAATTCCCAAGTGTACATTTTAAGCTCACACACTGTAACAGAAATGAAAAGGCAAGTCTTAAATGGCCAGAATATTGATTTATTTTTATCTCTGGAGGCTGGAGGTTCTGAGTTGTGATATCAAAAGCCTGAGGCTGGTAAAAGTGCAGCACACTTGGGAACCAGCAGCAATCCAGAAAGTGCAGTATGTGCATTGCAAAGCAGGCACCTGAAACCCGTGTCCATTGTAATCAGTGGTGTGTGTTTTACATGGGGGAGCCTAAGAACAGAAAGAAGTCTAGCTGAAGTAAACAGAGCATGAATCACATACTATAGGAGGAGATTGATGGGGAAAGAGAAGCAATTTAAGAGAAATTAAATTTCTTTTAAAATCATAATCTTCTAAAAAAAGGGCTGCAATATTTTGCCTCACTGAGTCTGTTTGCTGCATTCTGTATATTTGATAAAAGTTCCGTTAGAATTGAAGCACTATGTGTCTGCATCTGTTCAATACAAATAGGACTATTTTTCAATTTTTACTACTTTTTTTCTGAAAGCCTTTATATTGTAGTATCTGTTTTGTTCTTTATTCGAAATTAATCCAGAGAAGATAACAAGAAAGAAACAACAGGATGCACTGAAAGTAAATTAAGTTTGTTCATTGAGTGACATTCAACATGGAGTTTAGCCATTGCTTTTAGGAAAAAAAAAAAGATCATGTTGCTCCTGGTGCTTACTCATTTTTTTTCAGACTTTACTCAAGAAATATTTCTGCTGAGTGAGTAAAGACAGGAGCTTGCCAACATAAAAATTATTCCACTAGATCCAGAGAAATTCTGAAAATAATTATTAGCATGCATTGTCTTTCTGTCTATTCTGTGTAATAGAAATGGAAAAAAAAACAGTAGGCAAGTAAGGTATATAAAAGCAAATATTGATGAAATCTTGATTGCAACAGAGGATCTTTAAAATATTCCTAGTCATCACATCCTGTGTTTAGAAGGGTGACTTGTACAACTTGAGCAGGACCAGTTTCCATTTCTGTTATAGCCCATAAGAATTTTGGCATTTATGTTCAGAAGCAGGAGGATGTGACCTGCAATGTTTAATTCTCTGTGCTTCAAACCCTTAAAATCTGCAGCAATAATTGAAATACAATATTGAGTCCAGTCAGCATACCGGACCAGAGCTATCAATGTGTTATTGTAACACCTGAATTACAGATTGTTTACTTTTTAACTGAGAGGTCTGAGGTTTCAGATAAAGGGCTCCATGTAAAGGACATCAAATTAAACAGCACAGAAATCTGTGGGCATTTGTATTAAGGAAAAATACCATGAATGTGCTTTTGTTGCATGATAGCCTTATTCTAAGTATGCACAATTTATTTTCTTTTACAGGGTGATCAAGGTCTACCTGGTTCTGCTGGTCCAAAGGTAACAAAAAAGTGTCTTTATAGAATGACAGTATCACTGTGATACAGCACATTACTGAAAAATCTTGGAGACTCTTACTATGTAACCTAAGTTTCTCAGTTGGCCAGCATGCTTCCCTATGAAGTGTCCTGTAATCAGGTAACCTTGGCTGGACATGGCTCTATCACCCCCTTCCAAATGGGACTGGGGAGAGAGAATAAGACAGAAAGCAACTTGTAGGTTGAGATAAAGTGGTGTTCACTAAAACAAAAAGAAAGTGAAAATTTCCATGTGCATAAGCAAAGAGAAAAAAAGTTTAATCTCTACTTCCCATCAGCGAGTAATATTCAGCCACTTCCTGGGAAGAAGTTGCTCAGGAAGGCAAATACTATAAAACAACAAATGCCCCCCATTCCTCCTCTCTCCCATAGATTTTATATCTGAGCTGACATCATATGGTACAGAATACCCCTTTGGTTAATTTGGGTCAGCTATTTTTGCTTAGTTGTGTCCCCTTCCAGGGTATTGCCCACTCCCAGCCCCCTTGATGGGAGGAGGGGTTGAGAGAATTGTTAAAGACACAGTGCTGATGGTGTGCCGGTGCTGCTCAGCAGCAGACAAAACACTGGTATATTATCAACACTTTTCCAGCTACCAATGCAAAGCACAGCACTGTGAGGGCTGCTGGGGGGAAAACAAACTCCAGCTCAACCAGAACCAATACACATGATCAGAAGGTTGAGAGAGGGAATACTCCCTCTCTACTCTGCCCTCATGAGAACTCACCTGGAGAGGTGTGCCCACCTCTGGGACCCCCAGCACAAGAAAGGCATGCACCTGTTGGAACAAGTCCAGGGGAGAGCCATGAACATGATCGGTGGATGACCTCTTCCTGGGGATGTTCAAGGCCATATTGGATGTGGTTTTGAGCTACCTGGTCTAGTGGAAGATGTCCCTGCCCATGGCAGAGGGATTGAAACTGTGAAACTACTTATTTGCCTCTGCTTAGACATATTCGATATATCAATAGTCGGAATTTTTATTTTAGGGTGATACTGGAGTCGCTGGATCAATAGGCCCCAAAGGAGAAGCTGGCCCTATTGGGTCTCCTGGAAAACCTGGACCACCTGGACCGCCTGGGCCTCCTGGACCCCCTGGACCTCCTGGACCACCAGGACTAAGTTACAGCTTGGGCTTTGAGGTATTTTGCTATTCTGAATTTTGTTGTAAGTTTGGATATATTTCCTCCAGAAGAAAGACAGTGTGATCACCTGTATATTTCACAGGTATTTAAGTCTGAATTGAGAACAAAGTAATTTGTTCTACATTGAAATTTGCGAAGGAGTATAAATACAGAGACACATATTGCTTATTTCTGACCTCATGGTCTGTTTTACTTAGGACAAAAATGTTCTATTTAAAATATAAAATTGCAGATGTTACTTTTTCTACTTCTGAGAATAATACCTTCATCACTTAAAAATATGAGATCGGGCCAGCTCAAGATGATCTTTACATATCATTTGAGAACTGCTCATTGGATAATGTTGTTGGAGCAGAAAGTGGTTTTGCAGTAAAGAAAGGCAAGGGAAGAACACTCAGTCAGGTTCAAGAATTAGAGCTGCCGCATTACCATCTTTGTGAAGAGAGGCCAAGAAAGTGCCACTATCAATTCATATTTGTGTCTTCACTTTTTTCTTCCTTATTTTCCATGCATTTTTCAATTCTAATTTACCTGTGTGGCTCAGCAAACTCTTTCTAGAGTTTTTTATGTCATGGGATATAATCGAATTGGCACAGGAACTCAGGGTAGCCTCATCAGAGAAGTAAGAATGTTTGACCAAAATTACTGGCCCTCTGTCGAGCAGCAGCAGTAAAGTGGTGGTGTTTAAAAGATACCAGTTTTCCTACACATTTCTCTTAGTATCTACTCCAACTCTTTTGTATTTTTCTTTTCTTTACAGACACTTTGAGGTGCCACAGATGTGACCACCAGTGTTGTTTAGAGACCTAATTTGCTTTCTGATATCTGACTAAAGAATATTGTACTATATACACTACTGGTTTATAATCTCACTGATGTCAGTGAATTTCAATGGACAAAATCTCTCTATCAGTTCACAGGTTCTTAATTGCCAGCACTGAAATTGTTAGCAAGAAGCAGCTTGAAGTCTAAGCAAACAGTCCTTTGCCTTGTCTTAGGCACACTACACTGGTACACAGTCTCCCCTGAATAAATATCTAGGTGTCTCAGAATGAGTTAAGGACCACTGGCAAGTCACAGCTTCATCCCAGGCCTGGTCTGAGTTTTAGCCCAGAATGATAGCTTCTCTGACTTAGAGTCATCTTCTGTGACCTCTGAGGACCCATTCTTTAAGAGATTCTCCACTTTTCACCATTAGCACTATTGGAGTAAAAGGCAATGTGCCCTTATTATGTCACCAAAGAGTCCTCCTGCAATTATGTGCTGAGGATCAAGCTCTGCCACTTTTAAAACCCAAGTCTCAGAGGAGAAAACTTAGCAGATGAGCAGGAAAGGGTGAAAACTGAGAGTCCCCACTTTTATGGATGCAAATGCAGAAGGATTTGATCCCTAACTGCAGAAACAGTATCTTGACCGGCTTCATCTTGAACTTTATGTAGTCCAAACAAAATTGGTATGATTGTCATTTCCCTGAGAGGAATACTACTTTAAACAGGTTTGCTAGCTGTAGCTGATCTTTTGGATGCCCACCCCTGCCATCTGTTGAGGCAGCACCATGGTCTGCCAGTTTATTAGGGTGACACTACCTTTTGGTTGGCAGTCTGTTTATTGCAGTAAGGCTGTTTCTGCAAAATACTCCTGTTAGCACTTGTTAACATCTGTGATCAGCTATGTGCAAAAACCAAATGGCATGGTGTTTGCTGGCACTTATGCTTGCCAAAAGAACAGTTTGAGCTGCAGAAGGTACCTGGTAAACCCATTAAAAACACACAGATGTCAAAAGAGATGATGTGTTATATAAAGCAGGCATCAAGCACTCTCTTAAAGGGAAAAACAGACTGGCACAATGCAGTCAAGGGAAAGAGCACAGAAACACAGTGTGGTTTATCCTCCACAGTGAGAGTTGGCTTAAACAGTCCAAAGAGAATAAGAGTAGATTTTCTGTTGGTATTTGATACACTGATAGCTGATGAAGGAGCAGAATGAAAGTCTGAATGACATTAAATCAATCTCAGGTGAAGTTGCACAAAAGGGAAGGACCTGATTCCAGCTGTGCATTCCTTCTGCTTCTCTTACTCTTGTGGAGTTGACAGAAAAGGTCAGAAGAACAGGATCTTTGTTTTTCAATGGAGTCAGGTCAGATTATGTTTTCCGTACCTTTGGTGTTAAGCTGTCATTCAGTGGTAGCTGAAGGTGATCTCACCCTTCCCCTTACACCATCTCCTGAGTGCACCACAGCTGGACTAAGCTGGGCCATTTCAAGTCACTAACTGGCAGAAATTTAAGTGGGTCAGGTCCTCTAAACATGGTAAGCTGATACAAGGGCTTGCTGTCATTAGGAGGTGGAGGTTCTCCTTTGCTCCTCTTCCTTCCCCATCTGCAGACATTCCTGGCACATTCCTACCCTTCGCATGCACTCATATTCAGTATTCCATCAATTCTTCCACAAGACAATTTAATCTACTAAAATTTTAGAGAACACTTGCACCCCGAAAGTAGCATATTTTCTGCCATTTTAATCATCTAAAGAAAGTGAGGGGCTTCAACACATGATGCTGATGTTGCAAATGAAGGCCGTATGGCTGTGAGCAGGGAAATAAAACAAAGATTAAGATTTTCTCTTTCAGAAAAGGAAACAATTAAGCCAGCGCAGCTGCAGCTAAAACTGCAGCTAAAACCAAGTGAACAGTTCCCTGCTGGCATGGCTCATTCAGATGTTTTGAAGAACAGTCTACAAGTTTGGACTAGGCACAAACCAGGAGATAGGCACAAGAGTGGTGCTGGGCCTGAAACAAGTAATTGTGGCAGCTGCAATTTTATTTCTTTACTGCTTTGGAACTGGCAGTAAGCCAGAAGTTCCTGCTTCTGCCATGTATCTACAATGTCATAGAACAATGAAAGCTGGAGGGAGGCTTCTGCTTTCTGTGTCGTTTCCTTGAAAACTATTAAAAAATCTCCATGGGAAATAATTTGTAGTCTCCTCTCAAGGACTCCCACTACACAGAGACTTATTTCTGAAGTTAGCAGAGGGCAATGGAAAAGGACAGTGGGCTGGAGCAGATGACCTGTAATGAAAGCCTCAGGGAACTGAGCTTGCTCAGTCTGGAGAACACTTAACCCTAATCTCTAGGAGGTTCCAAGGCCTGAGTTTCCAATGCCCTAAACAACTTGATTGGAATTCAGTGTTGACATTGCTTTTGACGGGAATTTGGGAAGGCAGCCTCTGAGAGACCTTTCAACATAATTAATTCTACAATTTGATGGTGGAATTTTTTTCTGCTTAATTTCAGAAAGCAGTATTTTAGGCAGGAGTTCAATGTTTGACTGTGAGAATTGGGAAGAACCTCTATTGATGAAAAGTGATTGCTGCCTTTAAACTGCAAGTTCTCCCTGACATAAATCAGTTTTGGGAGCCCTTACTAGTCATTAGTGTTTCAGTAGCTGGGTGGCAGGTAAATGCTACACAGAAAAATACTGCTTAAAAGTGTGCTTAAACACAGTGTGAACTGTCTCACTTCTGCTTGATGCTCTTCAGCCTGAAGTGCTGGAGCACTGGTGGCAAGTTGGCAAGATAGTACAGACCAGAGTTTCTGTAAGGATGACCAGCATGTTTTTAGTCACATTTGAGCAAAGCCTATCTCCAGAACATCATCCATTTTTCTCTGAAAAAAAAAGTTAATGAGAAAAGATTTAAATATTTGTGTTCAGTATGTTTCCAGTTTGTACAGAACTTCAGAAAACAGAGCGGTTGGAAAAAAACCAAAACAACACAACCAGAAAAAAAAGCCAAAGATAAATTCTTAAATTCTGTAACATTTTGTCTCTTCCATTAGGATATGGAAGGATCAGGTAGCATCGACCTGTTAAGTGAATCAAGAATTCCCAGACCAAGGGAACCAAAGGTGAGTGGATATTTTATGGGAGGGGAGTATAAATTGTTGCTGAGTTGTTTGGTTTGTTTTGGGCTTTTTTCTAAACAGAGGTTTCCTCCATTCTGCTTTTTGGAAACATATAGCCCCAGTCAGCCATAGATTGACAGTCACTACATTGAAATGGATTCACTTGCCCTAGAATGTCATTAAAATAACTGTGTCCTCCAAAGAATCTGAATGGCATTTCTCTGACACCTTATTAGCTAATGATTTTTTTTATTCTGCTCTGGTATATTTTTGAGATATTAAAGGGTGAATAAGGGGTTTTATGTTATCTAGCTCTCTGTTTCTCCCTTCACCCTAATAGATTCCTTTCTCTCATATGAAAGTGACTCACGCATATGAAGATTAAACTGAAATGTTATAGTTTGACAAACAAATGTGTGTAATACAACATGCCACTTTTAAACTAAAAATTTTTTTCCCAGTAGTGTGGAAGCAATGTCTCAGAAAAAAGGGATGCTTTTTTTTCCCATCATTGTGTCTCAGGAGATTTTTTGCTAGTGTGGACCATTTCAATCTTCAAGTAGGGAATATGGGAATATAATCTATCGGTATCAACCAGATCATTTGGATTTATTGTCATTCTTAACAATAGAAGGAGTTCCAGTGGTTTAGTCTGGCAACAAAAGGACACAAAGACACGATCCAGTAGCTACTTAATGAATCTCTTAAGGGCAGCTGCAAGTATGATGAAGCTGAACTGTTCCTTGTAGTGCCAGGTGGTGCAGCAAGGGACAGTGGTCACAATTTGCAGGTTGGGATGTTCAGGCTAAGCCTTAGGAGATGGCTGTTCACTAGAAAGTTGGAGCAGTTGCCCAGGGAGGTTGCAGAAGGTCTGGTCTTGGAAGTTATCGAGGCTTTGCTGGACAGAAACACAGCTGACCTGATCTGAAGCTGGTGACACTTCTGCTTCCAGGGGGTGATTAGATTAGATGGCCTCCACAGGCCTGTACAATCCTATGCTTGTGATTCCATGAATCATCAGACACCAACTGAACAGTGGAGGCAGGAGTGACTTTGAGCAGCTTTCTACTGTGTTGGTTTAAAGTACCAGTAATTGTGAGTCACTGAAACTGTAGCTGATAGCTTAGAGAAATTTGCCCCCTCTTATGTCTTTTCCTAGATACTAAAAATAGTACAAAAATACAGTTACAAAAATAAGTATTGAATCTGTTCGCTGAAACAAGGAGGTATCCACAAGCAGGGCCAAAATTCCACATTCTGACCTGCCTTAGTCACAGCCTTACTCTCACATTGGTTTTATAACAGGCATTGTTTCCAAGTCACTCAGCTATAAATATTCAAAAAATGTCTTGTTGGAGTTGAACAAAATTTTCCTGTTACTGCTTAATTACTCTGCAAAGTTTGAGTCAGTACACAAGAGAGATGAGAAAAGGAGATAAGAAAAATAAGAATTTTGCTGAAATTATGAAAATGCTTTTACATACTTACTGGTACTGCACTATCAGCCATTTACACCTTATCACAACTCCAGAGGACCCAGTGGTGCTTAAGTGAAAACTGAGAATCTGCTTCAAAGGGGGTTGCAACGCAAAACAGCTGCTAAGAAATAAATTACATTTATTGGCACTGTCTTCGTATCTGTTGAGATTTCTATTAATCTTTTATCAGAAAATAGTAATTGGGTTTTAAAGGAGAAATATAATTTTTTTCTGACAGCTCAGCTCTCGTTTCCAGGGTTTCTATTTTTTCTTCCACAGATCAGTGTAAAGTTTTATTGGTGTTTTCTCATTATTTAGTAATACTATTTATATCTGCCTTCATGTTCCAGATAAAGACAATTCAATCACTTTGTCAAATTCCTTTGTCTTCCATTCAATTTTCTACAATGTCCAATAATGAACTGTTGTCCATTTTACCATCAAAGAGCCATAATTGTTCTTTGCAACCCATGTCACCATATAGAGATGAGAGGAATTTGAATTTCAAAATTATTTTTGAAACAAACCTTTTGGGAAACTGCTTTTAAACCTAGCAAGACTCTGTTGCCTCTAAACTGGTAGCATATCTTAATTTTAGCCAAGAATGCAAATTCAAAAAACTGTAAGCAGTTGAAAGCAATACATCACAACAAATGCTAAATTTGGACAAATTTATTTCTAATATTTTCTAAAAATATGTATTGTATGCAGTGACAACACTAAAGTTGTATTTGTAAGAAAAGGTGCATTTTATTGCTCTCCCTTAACACTACAGGTCTCCAGCATTGTTTTTGTAACAGTCTTGGTAGCAAGTTACATTTTTTTTCTGAAAAAAAATTTTGAAATGCCATGTGGATTTACAAGTAAATTTTTACAGGGTTCTGCAGGAAGACCTGGACAGCGTGGACCATTAGGTCCAAAGGTAAAAATATTTGAAAGATAACCTATATTGCTTTAGTATATTTTTTTTCATATTTTTTATTTCTACATTATCAGAATTTGCCTGAACAAAACAGCTTTCCTTTAGGATTCATATATGGATTAAGCTGGGACAAATTTTGTTCCCATTTGCACTGGATATCTATGCAGAATATGTATTATTAAAATTATTTCACATCCAACAAGAGCAGTGAGTAGATACTAACTGGGCTATTACATTCCATCACATCTTTGATAAATTTTTTTTGGACATCTGGCAATTTCTCTTTGTTGCTCATTTATACATCACTCTGGTCTCAGAGAGGTTACATGTATGCTGTTGAAAGAGAAATCTGCATGACGAGGCCTTCTGATCCCAGAAAGTGATAGGAAAACATTCTGGAAGGTGCTAGGGGGAAGAAGGGAGGAGCAATGACTACTTTGCCTTGGTTTTATTTGAGCTTAGAAGTGCCTGAATTTTTGCACTTTGATGCTGCTACTGGTTGTGTAACCAATGAGGCAAAAAATGGAGAGATGAAAAATCACAGAAGAAAAGGGCAGATTTGCAGAATGGGTCTTTAGACAGGAAGAGGCTTTTCCTATTCCTATGTAAAGCTCGACTACCACTCAGGTTAACAGTACAGCATGACAACACCTTAAATGTGAAGTTAAAGAAATTTAAGGTCTTCATTGCCCTGGGAAATAACAGTAACATTGAAAGGGCAGGAAGTGGAAGATGAGAAGTGGCAGTACCCATCCTCACACTGTGAAATTTTCACCTGAACTTACACCCAGCACTAATCACTGACTGCCCAGTGCACACACCTAATTTATAGCACAACAGCCACCAAAGATCTGGCCAGCCCCCTCTGTCTAAAGTCTGTAAAGCTCAGCTTCTAGGGCTGAAAAAGTCCCTCCATGGTGTACTACTCCTGCTGCTGCTGGAGCCCATTACTTATGAGTGAAAAGAATACAATTTGCACAGCACTTGTTGGTGAGTGGACTGGCAAGAATAAATTTGCTCTCACATGATGCTGCTCTGTGCACATGTGTAGGTGCCGAGCCTCCACGCTGACTGAAAAAAAATTTTTTTAAGAACTTATTCTTATTCTCTGCCCTTAGCTAGAAATTTTGTATCTAAGAAATACTGCTTCACAAAGATTTCAGAAATTGAGGTAGCAAGATTCCTAGGATTTAGGAAATGGGCTGGAGTGGTAGAGATAGTCATAAACCTTGGCCAAGAGACCTCACCATCACCTTGGTTTAATCATGAGTCATTCTTCCCCAAGACACAGGAGAAACAGAAAGGAACATGCCTGACATCTTACAAAACCAGGTATACTATGGCAAAATTAATATAAAGTGGTTATAATACACTATCATTCTCATGGGGATGAATTTTACACCCACTTTTCATGATTATAAATGACTTCACTAGGCAACAGTCGCAAAATACAACAACCACCCACTTCCCAAAACCAAGAGCTAATGCATCACGAGGAATTGAAGGTATAGTTCTGTTTCATGCATCTTTCATCCTTCAAACACCCCAGACAAGTATAGCTGTCAGAGAAGACTAGCTATGATCAAATTTTTTCTCTTTCCTAGCAAGTAAGTATGGATCGATCCAAATTCTGCTTTCACTTTTATTATTATGAAAAGCTGTTTTTGTTAAAAAACAGCCTATAGTCTTCATACACTCTTGAATATATGAACTCCCAAAAAGCAGTAAGCATAAACATAACATTTGAGGCAATGGCTGATTATCCCAGTTTATATTCGGTATCTCCAAAGAAATAAACTAAATTGGATGTTCTCTGTCTGTTAAAAAATTGAGGAACTGTGTCTACTTAGGGCTAAAATCCTGCAGAATCAGTCCCAAAGGTGGAACAGTGCAATGTTCATTATTTCACTCGTGGCTTGACACAGTGCCTGGGGAGGTGGAGAGAGCAGCAGTGTGAGGAGACTGTGTTAGCTGGTTTGGAGACAGATGGTTAGTCCTTTGTGGAAGCACAAGGTCATGGCTGCAGTGGTAGAACTGGGGAATGTTACCATGAGCTGATTTCAGATGTCAAAAGGAGGCTTCAGGAACATGTCTTGGTCAATGCTCAGCAAAAATAATGAGTCGTGACCACAAACTCTTCAGATGTGGTAGCAACTGGGTGATTAAAATCTCAGAACCAAATCACAAATGTATGCCGAGCATCACTTTACCAAAAATATGCCATATTTTTACTGATTGTTTTACTCCATTGGGTTCCTTTGTTTTTAAGGAAAGTAGCATACATGTTTAAAATCCTTGCAATTACTGCTCACTCTAATACTTGAGCCCTCTGTGTCTCTGTTTCAGGGAGAAAGAGGCAACATAGGTCTCCCAGGTTCAAAGGTGGGAAGTTTATTTAACCTGATCTAAAACCTCAGTTGTTTCTTTCCTCTGTTTCTTTTCATCTCTTCATGCACTTAGTGAATGCACTTAATGAACATTTCTTGCTCCATCAGCACAAACCCCTTTCTCTGGTGAATTGTGAGTATCAGGAGCCAGTATAACCTGGTGCTTACGACTTCTGCCTAAAATGTGGTTAAAATTGTGTCTAAAAATTGCATCTAAAAGGTGCTTGTCTTCAAAGGAATCTTGTGAAGCCCTGCACATTTTCATCAGAAGGAAGATTAAAAATTAGCAAAGCTTAGACAGAAAACTAACTTCCACGTGCCTCTGTTCCTTCATATGGTGGTGTGTAGCTCTCACCCCACAGCAGAGCACCCCACAGGTCTGTGCTACAGTCGGAGGCTCATGTCTGTCTTAATCCCTGTCTGTTCTGCTTTGAACTCTTGGAGCCCTCCCTAAAACTCCTGTTTGGGACTGTGCTGCTCCTTGCTGGTCCCTGTCTGATCTGAGTGTCTTTTGCAGCCACAAGCCAGCAGAGAGCGCTGATGTGACTCAGAAAATTTTAAAAAATTTAAAATAAAATAAAATAAAATAAAATAAAATAAAATAAAATAAAATAAAATAAAATAAAATAAAATAAAATATTGAAACGAAATAGCCTTCTTCTGCATTTGGGATGGCCCTGAAATCAAAATTTACTCTAGGAAACAAGATAAATGCAGTTATGCTTGATAAGTATTTACAAGAGTATTATCACAGTCTTCTAGCAGCATCTGCTTGTTTATTTTTTAAAAATACCAACAATGTATCAGGACTCTTCTTGCCATAAATTCCATCTGCTGTGCATATTATGAGTGTTGTCATTTCACATAGATATTTGTCAGCATGATAATTAAAGCTGATGCATTGACACACAGGACAGTAGTTTAACTCTTCTTAACCAGTCTGAGACTATAGAATATTTTCTTTATTATTCCTACATGTCCTTTCTTCTGAGATCCTTTTTCTACTAATTGTTATTGTTTTATGTGAGAGTGCATTTGAAATATGTGTATATTTTAAGTGGAGTGACTACAGGATTATTTTAAAAATAAGCAATTTATCCCTTTAACCCTCAAACTAAAAAAGATATTTGTTCTCTTGTACCTGAGCAATAAGCTACATTCTTAAAATATGATGGGAATTAGAAATAAGGATGTCTCTGGATACATCAGTTGCATTAAAACATCTTACCTATCCTGAATCTTTTCTTCCCATTTAAATTTCGTTAGGAAAATGAATGGGAGAAATTATTCAGCATTTGTAATGGTAGGAAGCTATTCTGCAAGTATCAACACACCTAAAATGACAACATTCTGTTGCAGAATAGCTGTTGTTCCAATATTATTTCCTCTGCTGATTTACGTTTGCTGCAGATAGATGCTTGTAATTTTCCATAAGCACTTGAGAAATTTATGTCCCAAGAACCATTGTTACTGCTCATGCAGATACCAAAATCCCAGTAGCTGCTTTGATGCCTAAATTCCATTAGCAGTCAGACACCCTTTATCCTGTCTATACAATTGTTTATAAAATGAAGAACAGAGTACTTCAGAAATCATACTTTATTCCTGACCCACATGCTTCACTGATCACTGACAAAAGCAGAAATAGCAGTGACAATATCTTTTCTTAATGAAGCAGGCACATTAAATCTCTTATGGTGGTACTATGTGCTGTTAAAACCCACAAAAATTTTCTTCAAACAGAGCAAAAAGTTGGAAACAAAACAGTATTTTCCAAAAACCAAAATGAAAAAAAAAAATCCCCAGCATATTAAAAAAAACCCTCAAAGCCAAAAAAAACCCAAAAAAAAAAAACCTCAAAACCACATACAAAACAAACACCCAAAAAACCCCACCAAAAAAACAAGATAACAAGAGTAGTTGTTCCTTTGGATAAATCATTAGGCTGCTCTGTGTCATTTCCTTTGCTCTTTCATATGATGCAGAGAAAAACAGATGCAAAAAGTGTAGCTCACTGTTTATCTGGTCCTTTAAGAATTTAGAACCTTCTTTTATCCATTTTTCTCAGGGCAAACTGCACTATCCTTAGTGCATCTGTTTTTCCCATAGAGCAGAGTAGCTGTCAGACTCCAGCAGTCATATACAGGCCTCTATCAAAATACAGCAGGGGGTGGTTTTGCCCCACATACTGACTCCTGTCTACATCCAATGCCAATGTCTACATCCCTTCTCTTCCTCCAGCTTGAGAGTCACTTAAGTGAAGGGTGGAAATAACTCATCAAATGTATTTTGAGGGAAAGGAATGAAATTCATCCTTTTGCTAACAGGGGTGGAAGCAGTGAAAAACGATTGAAGCTGCAGGGGAAAAAAAGCCATAAGCCTACTCTGGAGAGGGGGAAAGAGCAGGAGGAGTGGAGAGAGCAGATGACTAATGAGATAATGAGTCTTCCCCAAACCTGCCCACCAGCCCGTTCAGAGCCATATCGTGACCCTCCCCAGTGGCAGCCTCCTGCTTGTGTGAAACTGAATGCAGTTTAGAGAGAATAACTGTACGTTCTTTGTGGCAGGGGATGCCGGGCACAGATGGAAAACCAGGCTTTCCTGGCATTGCTGGGCATCCCGGAGAAGTGGTAAGTAGGGTTATCATCCTCTCTGATCACTGACACACACTGGCTCCCAAATCTACCTCTTACAGGTCAGCAGGATAAGTGCTTGCTAGCAGACTGTGAAGAGCTGGGGCTGTGTTTGTCCTGCTTAACCTGGAGCAGTTACCTCAGACAAAAAACACAGAAGCAGACTGTACCTTGCCCATGCCTCCCTCATCAGTCAGAAGAGATACAGGCATCTCCAGAGGCTAGTTCTGATTTCTCAATGCTCCTTCTGCTTTTAATTATTCAGAATTCAGCTCTGCCTTTAATTAGAGGAAAGCCAGCAGGCTCATAGGTGATTTCAATCTATTTCTCATGCTTAAGACTCTCAAGAATTACAGCGTGCTTTGCTTGGGAAGTCCAACGGCTCATCCCCTGGCACCTTCCTCTCACTTGTGCCAGAGAAGTGTCTGCATTTCCAGCACAGGGAGTCCTACAGACGGGCTGATCAAGCTTAGAAATAAGCTGCCTGAAAGATGACAGTTTAGCTTCCCTGTCTTCTCCTATCTTGTCTCCTGGGAAATCCTGGGCACAGCTGATGTGGTTGATGCTGGAAAAGGACAACACAGCCAGATATGGCTGATTTCAGTGCAGTGAAAAAAATGTTCACTGGATTAATTCCTAGCTAATGAAATGTTTTGTGCCCATTGTGCTTCTAGTCATCTGTGAACTCTGTAAAAGTTCTGGGAAATACTTTTAACCATCAAACCTTCAGAAGATCTGAGTTGAAACTAGTTGGCCCTATGTTTCTTTTGAGAGAGCTGGGAATTATCATTCTGTACATGAAATTCACTGCTGTGCTTTTTGTGAAGCAAGAGAGAACACATTTCATAATTTCCCCTTTTAAATCACTTATGCTCTTTTTTCTTTTTTTTTTATCATCTGAAGGGTCCAAAAGGAGAGAAGGGTGACCCAGGACCTCGGGTGAGATTTTGTGGATTTCACTCTTTTCAAGAAACCTATGTGAACTGTAGCGCTTAGTTTATGGGTTTTGCACATGTAATGCTTTTGAAATAGGGTGAACCAGGACAGGATGGGAACAGTATTGTGGGACCGCCTGGACCACCAGGACCACCGGGACCAGTCATAGCAATACCTGAGGTAAGTGTGCATGTCGAGCATTGAGGTCTCTAACTCCCCTTACAGAGAAGAGGGCACAAGTGGTTAACACACTGGCAATTCTGCTGCTCACATTCAGGTCATAAGTCTATTCCTCAAAACAAAAGAATCTCAATATGTCTCTGTATGAAATTATTTAGTTTTGAAAATGCTAGATTGGAAGAAAGTGGGTAAAGAGCTTAACTACAAGAGTTGTGAGATCATATTGTGCATCTTGCACAAACTCTTTAGATGATTCTGTAGAAGTTGTGAACATGAAATAGAAACCAACAGAGAAATACAAAACTGGGAATATTTAACACAGCATAGCACCTGAGACACAGCAGTAAGTGGGGGAGGGTAATTTCCTGATAGTTGTCCACTATACAAACCAGAGCACTGACTCTGGAAGAAACAAAAGGTAAAATAGTAGAAGCCCATAGAAAGTCTCCACTATGCTTTAGATGCAGGTATATTTTCAGTTAGTTTTGCTGTGTGTACATCAGCCTTTGCAAAAAACAGTACTATATGCAGTAATGAAGGCTGGAGATTAGGATGAATCCCACTTGGAGCTGACAACAAAAATCTTAGTAGTTGGCCTGATGTAACATTAAGATCTGGAGGAACTGTGAGTGACTGCAGGAAACCACCTCTGAGAGGTGGAGGTGCCTAAAACAGCCAGACATGCCCACAGGAATACATATAAGGGCAGTAAGAAGTGTTTTGTAACTGCAAGAGAAAATGCCCAGCTGAGAAATCTGTGTTAAGGAGAGCTTGGTGCCATCATTATCATAAAGCTGAACTACACATAGCCTTTTTTGACTGAAGCAACTGGGCTTTCACTTAGGCTTCTGCTACCAATAGCAAATATAACATTAATTTTCATCCCATAGGCTTGAACAGGTCACCAGTCTCACCCGTCCTACCTGAAGTGTTTTTTCTTTACTGACTTTACTGTGAATCCATGCAGAATACCAGGATCTTGGATCCTGAATCTTGGATGAGCTGAATTATAGACTTAGAATGATAGAAATGTTGGTTGTGGTCGAAGTCCTGCTCATAGTGGGACTGTCAGCAGCTCTACACTTTATCTCAATTCTGTTGGAGTTCCTGGGGAACTGCTCAATAGCTGTGATAGAAATGCTGATGTAAAATTCATGTTCTTTCTCACAGCCCTGCCACAGTGCCACTGTGGGACCTTAATTCTTATCAGTGACTAAACAGCTCTGTTTGCAGAAAAAATGAACCTCAATGTGTTGCTCCATAGCTCATTAATACTTGAAAAAAACCACTATGACAGCCTCAGAGGGGGAACTGTACATATAAAGAACATAAAAAGATTATTGAATCTGACATAAACTAATGACGCTTGCTGGAGGCTGCATGGCTCCCTATGTGCACTAGTCACAGTCCACACACCTGTCAAATATGTAGCTATGTCTGAAGAAACCTAAAGTGCATCCTCTGTGTCCTCCTGATCTCCTGTATGAACTACTTTTACCATGTATTACAGAAATGTATAGAGCCTGGTAGAATCTGTATTGCATTAGGTGTATTACAAGTCCATACAGAATCCCATTTCCTTAAGTACTTTTGGGTTTTAGAAGTAAGCTCTTTTAAAAAATTGAGAGCATTTATGGCTTTATATACATTTGTAATGTAGGTGTTCTGGGGAGGTACATCAAGAGCTGTCAAATGCTCTGTATTGTTAATCAGAAGATTTCTCTGAGAACTTGGTGTACTGGATTTTGCTACAGTAAATGAAATGTGTGGGGAAGTATACGTCACTATGTATGACATTGAATTCTTCCTATCTCACAAATGTTTGTGTAAGAACAGGACATTTGTTTGCAGTAAGTTTGCTGAGATAGACATTAAGTGTGTTTTGTTGACTCAGTCTCTCATCTTTCATAGTAAGCTTCAAATATGAAAAAGAACTATTGCAAGTTGGAATTGCAGAACTAAAATAAATAACACTGCCAGCTGTTGTAATATGGATATTGGCTTGATGTGGATAGAACAGCAGAGATCAGTGATCTGAGTGAACCACAGGGCACTTAGAGAGATTACTCTCCAGGTCAGGGTCATTCATTTAACCATTGTGTAGCCAAGAACAATACTTCTTGGGCTACAGAAGTCCAATGGACTTATCCATCAGAGTTGGAAGGAAGTTTTCTAAAGAAGGGCTGTGTGGCTACTTATGTTGCTTGACAAAAAAATAAGCAAATAAAGAGTTAGTTCAGTTCAGCACTGTTGAAATATTTAGAGCTGACATGGACAGCTGTGGCTCAGGGCCAGGTATCACCAGTAAGCATCTGGCTGATAGCACATTGATTGAGCTGCACTGAAAAGTGGACCTTGGTTTCCTTCTCATTTCACCTGGCCCCTATGTGAATGGAGGGGATTTGGTTCCTTCAAGAACCACTTCTCATACCATGAACATAAGTGTTAGGGGAAAACTGATGTCTGCAGTGGAACCTCTCCGTTTCCAGGCTTCTGCAGTTCCCACCAGCAATGTGGGTCTCAGAGGCTTCCTGTCCTTGCTGCCTCCTCTGTTGCCTCCTGTGACTGATCAGGAAGTCTGCTCTGACTCATTATGTTTTAAAAAAAAGTATTCCTCTGTTTGCTGCTGCTTGATATTCCAAAACACTAAAATCAATATTTCTCATCCTATATTGGCTATTTCACTCTTTCAGAGCATAGTTGCTGATACTCAGTGCATTTTCATGAGTGGAATCGTGATAACCAGAAAACCATAATATTTGTTGCTATGATTTTATCACACAAATTTAGTTTGGTATAGTACAGAAGTAATTTTGAATAGAGAAATATTATTGGATTTAAATTTCAAACTTTTACACCTTTATTTTTGGCTGGTGCTATTTACGCATAGTTTAGCTACAAGAAACAAAAGTCACAAAGAAAGGTTAATGCTGAGGGTGTAAAGCAGATGTCAAAAATTTTGTTCAGCCAGTTCTTTATATAATTCTGATAAGGCCAAAATTTCTATAATTATGACAAGGAATTTCTATATTATAGAATTTCTATAATCCTGACGAGGCCTTTTGGATGCAAAGCTGAAGGTTTACTTAGAAATGAACCCAGACAATCATCCTAAAATATAACAGTGAAGAAAATATGGAAAACAATGGTGTCCTTACTATTGTAGTTAGCACTTTCTGAACGAATTCAATGAGTTATATTGCTGCATTGTTGTTATTAAAGCTGTTTGAACATCCAAACTCAAAGCTGAATAATTATATACCTGGAGGAGGTTGTGAAGAGTGCAGTCTTTTCCTCTAATCATCACTCTTCTACCTTTTGTTTTCAAATGTTCTTCAGCATTATGTACAGTTTTCTGACTTCCAATCACAATTTCCATTTGCAGATCAACTGTATGTGTAAAATATACAATGTGCCCAATCCCAAACTCAGCAAAGCCTTTGGGATTCTTTTCACTGACTTCAATATAGTTTGGATTGAGCCCAAAAACAATGAATAATGAGTGATTCCACAATGAAAAGACCATGTAAACCCAAGGCTCCTGGATTTCTTCCTCCAGAAAAAGCAAAACAATCGCAGCAGCAGGACTCTATTACTGTCATTAAAGTAGCAGCCCATGTCCTGTTCCTTTTCTGGGCCATGTAAAACTGGAAATAGAGTGGGACCAAGGGCATCATACTATTCATGAAGAGTGCAGCAGAGTTCATGCAGTCTGGGAGATGGAGTGCTGCCTGTAGGATCTAAACTCTATTTTTACTTGAGAATTTCTCCGGTGTTTTTTGTAGAACATGAGGACAGGGAGTAGAAAGAAGCACCCAGTAGAAGCAGCAAGCTTTAGCTGTATGAATTATTCAACATGACCTCAAAATACAGAAAGCTGCCCATACACTGCCATGCTCAGATGACAATGGATAGGATAGGATAGGATAGGATAGGATAGGATAGGATAGGATAGGATAGGATAGGATAGGATAGGATGTGTGATCTGGATTCGACAAATAGTATTCAGAGACTCATAAGAGTATTGGAAGTGATCTCTGGAGGGCATATGGTCAAACCTCCTATTCAAAGCAATGGAGTTTCAAACTCAATTCCTGGATAATGTATTCATAATAAATGTTGGAAAATATTGTGGTCTGGTCATGTTGATCTACACATGGTTGCAGGCAGTAAGAGGCATTCAAATCTCACAAAACCTCAGTGACAACGTGTATATTCATGGGCTAAGTAAATCCCTGCCACATAAAAGGCATGCCCTGTCCTGGCATTGAAGAGTCCTGGACCACAGCTCCAAAGTCCTTGTCCACCTTCATTAGTAGGATTCTGTAATTGAATTATGCAGGAATGCCTGGGCTAGTGGGGAGCTCACCAATTCCAGGATACGAAGCAGTGCAATTACACTGTGCTGTTCAGGCATCCTGAGACTTGATGCTGGGTGGTGCAGGAGCTGCTCCCCATCACAGTTTGGGGTTCCAGGCTAGTTTCAGACACAGCAGTGTGAACAGTGCTGACTTAAAAATCACAGCATGGTGCTGCATGGTGAGATGCAGACATGTCCAGAATACAATTAAAACTTCAACTCTGCGGCAGAGGATGAGTGTGCTTACCATCTTAGAATGCCAATGACACACTGGAGCATAAAACCTCCATTTTATCTTTATCTTACTGAGGAGAAATGGCTTCAGGCTGCAAAATTTGGTGTCATAGCTTTCAAATTAAAAAGGTGACACAATTAATTAAATTTCTAAAAGCATTCTGAGATCCTTACAAAATAAATGTAAAAGAAATTATAGTGTTTTTTATTCCAGATGTATAAAGAAAATTAGAAGTAGAGAGCCTTTTCTGTCACCTTATTTATTTTTGGGGGTTTTTCATAGTTATAAAGAAATAATTTACCTTTCTAAAAATGTGTGTGAGCCTTAGATAAACCATTTGAAGTAACCTGTTTCTTAACCCCTTTTTCAGTTACTTCTCAATGAGACAGATGGAATTTCTAATTTTACTGAAATTAAAGGACTGCTTGGGCCTCCAGTGAGTATATGCTGCTTTATTAAATCTTCAGATTTGCTCTATCTTCAATATCTTCTTTTGAGTATCAACTTGAGATTAGTTTCCTATACTTTAGGATTGTGTTTCTGCTAACTTCAGCACCAAACTCTGTGGAAGTACTTTCAGGCAGAACTCACTTCTGTGTGAACAAACTGCTTTTACACATTTATATGAAATAAATTGGCTTATCTCTGATTCTGAACTATATGCTCAGAATTATAGAAATGTAGAACTGTTGCAAAAATAGAGTCCAAGATGTACATTTCTTCCATTTTTTTTTCTTCATGATTTCAAGTTTCAAAGTATTGGGATAAAAAGTATTTTGCTCAGTTCTGCTTGAGACTTCAACCAGAAATGCTAGGCTCCTGTCTATGAGTTTAGTCGCACACAAGTTATAGCTGTGAATGAAAAACTAGGTATTTCATAAGACAACAAAAGATGTGAAATTGAGGTTCTCTTCTAGCTGCAAAATAGTTCAGTCAAATATTTGAAATGCTGAATGCTTCTTGGTAATGATTTGAAGTTCCTAGGACTGGATCCAAAGAGAAATCTACCTATTCTGGTCATGAAGTCTATTCAAACTTTCCCAAAACTGTACAACATGTTGCAATTTGCAAAAAGTTAACCACCACAAATTAATCACCTTACTTTACAGCTAGTTTAATTTGGGAATTCTAGTTTGTGTATTTAATTTTGTCTGTTTTCTTGTTGGTGAGCACAGTGATCTTCTCCACATTAAAACCCTGATGAAACAAAGAAAGTCAGAATGTTCACAGCCAATAGCAGAATTTCATTCTACACAAAGTTTGCAAAAACTTTGTATCTTATTATTACAGCTGCCTCAAAACAAATATTTACTGAATGTGTCATTGAACTGGGAAGAAGGGCATTAGCTCCAGCAGCAGCTTGTAACCTTTTTCTGCTAGCCTAGCATGGCTCTTTACCACTTGTTAAACCATAGGACAACTCCATGTTATTGTGGCTGCATCCAGCCATACTTATAAGTAAAACAGTTTTCATGGAAGGGTATTTTCATGTATTTCCCAAAGACCTGGTTCTCCTAATCCCTGGACATAATAGGATGCGAGGACAGTATGGGTCCCCTTGTGTGAGCTCTGCCACAGTACTTGCCGTAGGTAATTCAAACCTTTGTTTTGTGATAGATGTTAGAATCACATTCCCACAAAAAAAGAAGCAGGTTCTGTAGCTTGAAGAGCAGTTGCAGTGAGAAAGCTTTGAACCTCAGTCTCAAAGCTCTAACCCTTGCCAGGTGCAGTCTCATAGTGGATGGGGAAATAAACATTCTGCTGATCTGAACCAGAATTTAAGTGTCTCTCTGCAGTTACCAGAGCAGGGCAATTTTAAATGTGCCCAAAACAAATCCCAATCTGTGATGATTCTATTCTCAGCCTATTACACACTCTGTTTTCTATCCAAAGACATCCAGGACCAAAATGGGAAAGGTGAGTGGCTGCTGTGGTCTCTGTGCTGGCATCTGCAAAAGATTCAGAGGAGGCTGAATAATGGTTGCATGCCTTTCATATGTAGAAAATGTCATCCTTTTTCAGTCTTTCTGGATCTCTGCCCCACCAGTTTTTGAGAGTAAATGCTAAATTAGAAGCATAGGGTGTTGTGGAGGTTCACACCTTTACTGTCAACTGAATGAAGTTCTTAATTCAGTAGCAGATGAGTTGATATTCACAAATCACACAATACATGAAAAATGCATATTCTGTTTTACAAGCCTGTAATATGTGTTTGTAAGGGTGTGAGTTTTTTAATTTTGCAGGGGCCAGATGGCAAGCCAGGTCTACCAGGATTTCCTGTAAGTATTAATTGCCTAGGATTTAAACGTATTTCCTAGGATTTTAAAGTATTTTTCAATACAGTTTAATAATTTGTAAAATGTATCTTGTACACAATTTGCATGAAGTCTAATAAATTTTCATAGAGGATGCTGCAGGTCTGAGGAAGTTACCAGCTGAGCTAGAAATTTATTCTGTCGGAAATGAAGTATATTCTGCTAGGCTCATCTCAGTGTCAGTTCTGTAGTTTAAATCTGGGTGTAATTAATGGAAAATTACTACCTAAGGAAAGGCCTATGCTGTATAGGAGAAACAAATGGAACAAATGGAATTCTAAATGTTATCTGCACGTATATGTATGTAACTGTGTTATTCCTCAGGCTTTTTTGTCACCACTACAGAATACAGGAAAGCCCTATAAGATGTTTCCTTTTTATTTTATCCTTTAGGAAATACTTATGATTTTTCATAACATACCAGGGCTATCATATAAGCATTTCACAACCATAGTATCAAAAGGTGCCTTTTGCTGCGCTGTTTATCTATTGCGCTCAGGCTGCCATGCAAACATGTATAAGCATCTTCATCGATGACTTAGACATGGGACTTGGAAGGATACCAACTTTGCAGACAATACAAAATTGGGGGGTGCTGTTAACTCCCTCCAAGGCAGAAAGAGCCTGCAGAGATACCTGCATAAATCAGAGGGCTGAAGGATCACCAGCTGTATGATGTTTAACAAGGGAAAGGGGCAGATTCTGCACCTGGGATGGTCACCCTGATTGTGCATGTAGGCCAGGGAATGAGATGCTGGAGAGCAATGCCAGGGAAAAAGACCTGGAGGTCCTGGTCAGCCTCAGGGTGAATCTAAGTCAGCAGGGCCCTGGCAGCCAGGAGGGCCAGCCATGTCCTGGGGGGCATCAGGCACAGCATGGCCAGCTGGGCAAGGGAGGGGATTGTCCTGCCCTGCTCTGCATTTGGGCTACCTCACCTCAATTCCTGGGGGCAGTTTTGAGTGCCACAATATAAGAAAGACATTAAACTGTTAGAGAGTGTCCAAAGGAGGCCTGTGAAGATGGGGAAGGGCCTTGAAGGGATGCTGTGTGAGAAGCAACTGAGGTCATTTGGTCTGTTCAGCCTGGAGAAGAGGAGGTGGAGGGAGACCTCATTGCAGCCAACAACTTCCTTGTGAGGGGAAGAGGAGAGGCAGACACTATTCCCTTCTCTGTGGTGACCGGTGACAGGACCTGAGGGAATGGCCTGAAGTTGTGTATGGGGAGGCTTAGGTTAGATATTAGGAAAAGGTTCTTCACCACAGATTTGTTGGGCACTGGAACAGGCTCCACAGGGAAATGGTCACAGCACCAAGCCTGACAGAATTAAATGAGGGTTTAGACAATGCTCTCAGGCACATGGAGTGACTCTTGGGGTATCCTGGGCAGAGCCAAGAGCTGGACTTTGATGATCCTTGTAGGTCTTTTCCAACCCAGAATACTCTGTGATTCTGTGATTATTTAGCTTATGACTTCAGAAAGTATTGTTCTAATTATTGTGTTCATATTCTGTGTGATGGGATAGAATTACTTTCCCTTGTTATGATTGTTTGACAGTTCAGAGCATGCATATGGTCTCAGGATCCTTTGTCTATTGCCTGAGAACAATTAAGCAGAAAACTGGGAAAGCTGACAAAAGATGTTAACAAAATGCCGGCAAAATGCCCAAAATTCCACAGAAGGTTGCTTGGTGAGTCCTGAATATCATGGACTGCAAAGAAAGGGGGAAAAAACTCCTCAGACATACATTTCATTTGAAAAAGGGCTGATAACATTTAGAAGATGATATAGTGAATTCTTGGTCTCTGTCCCTTATAGAACTTCTACAGACATGAAAATACCATTCTTGATCTCGCCTCATGTCTTTTATTTATCTCTTGACAAATGCAGAAATTATGTAGACATGAATTTAGATCTTAGTGAGCAAAAAGAATGCTTCTGAATGCTCTTGGAAGATTGTAAAGTACAATTTGATCTGATAGGAATGCTTTCCCCACAAAGCAGATAAAGAAATAATCTTGTTTTCAAATAGATAAACTCTATTTCATATACCCTTTTTTTTTTCTTTTTTTCCTTTTTTTTTTTTAACATACGGTTAAAAATACACCTTCAGAAAGTCTGTTGAAAATCAGTCTGGCTGAATGATCATGGAAAGAGAGAGGATTGAGTACAGAAGAAATAGAGAATTTTAGGTTGAATTTCCACTCTTATTAATGTTTGCATATTTCCCTTTGTGTGTATCATCTACACTGTGATAAACATAAGGTATTTTTCATTTTGGTCTTTCTAAAGACTTTCCTTATGTGATATCTGGTTTAGGGAATAACTTTATTCAGAGAGCAATTTTGTCTTGTAAGAATTCTTAGATTGCAACCAGAGTGATTTAAGTTCAAGTTTGCCAGTAATTTAAAATTACATTTAGTAAAATAGCCTAGTTCCATATTGTTCATAAATATCACTATGGATTTATGTACTTGTTTTTGCCTAGGGCCCTCGGGGTCCAAAGGGTGATACTGGTTTGCCCGGATCACAAGGACCTAAAGGACAACAGGTATGAAAAAATGCATAAGAGAAAGTATAGACTGAGAAATGTGTTAGATGACAAGTACTTAGTGACATTAGAAGTTTAATGATTCTAATTTTTGTAGGAATTGGGTTTTTAATTAGCTCATGTGAAAAATGTACTAGGGGGAATGAAAATGCTAAATGACCTCCCCTGATACAATCTTACCAAGAGCTAATCTTCCTGCACCAGTGTTGAAATTCATCAGTGCAGTATGCATTTATCAGGTTAAGTCTCTTTAAACATTAAACATGAAGTGACCTCTTCTTGCCAGCTGATTGTTGTGCTGACACCCTGGGATCCTATCCAAAAGCCCAAATTAAAAAAAAAGATCAATTTTTTCCTCCTCCTATGCCAGAGAGGGCTTTGCCTACAGAATGAAGACTGCAATTTTCAATTCTCAAAGTTTAAGACTTGAGGCACTCTCTTCTTAGGATTCTTTCTCCTGTTTCTTCAGAAAAAGTGTGTATTTTATAGCTCTGCTGAGAGGGTACTAAAGACTGACTCTGTTCTTCTGTAAATACTGCAGCTGTTCCAGTTTTTTCCCCTTCTTATAAACCTTCAGGAAGCAGGGGACAGGAACATCTAATATATTGGGTATACCAAGAAAGAAAAACAAAACTACTTTCTGCTTAGCTGAGCTCACTTTCTCACAAGTAATAGGAAGACTTGGAAATGGTTAATTATGGTTTAAATGGGGTAGCAGATGAACAGCACTGTCATTGCTCAGAAGGAAAGCTTTCAGGCCATGTTTACCAGTCCCTGCTTATCATAAGGTTTCCTGTTCTTATACAAAATGTATTATATGATCAAGCTCAACCTTAGAACTAGTTGGGTGATTTTTGGTTTAGGTTGTGGAGGTTTTTACTTTTGTTTTTTTTGGTTAGTGCTCTTTTTTTGCTTCTGGTGTCTGCACTGGCAGGAACTCAAAACTTAGAAAGCATTTAATTTTGGATGCACCAAAAACATAGTGATGTCTCTGATGGTGTTTCTGAGCTGTGAACACCAGGCTATGCTCAAGAGTGAAGAAGTTTGGGAACCCCAGTGAAGATGTACAGACACCTTTACTTAAAGGATCGTGAAATTCAGCCTCAGGTCCATACATTCTCATAGAAGATAAAGTCAGTGAAGCCAACCAAGTCTTAGGGAGATTCCAAAGTATCCAAAGTATCTTCAGGGAGACTTCAAAGACTCACAACAGTTTAAGAACCTGTGAGAAGAACTACAGGGGAGAAGGTGAGTTACAGCACCTAGAGTTCAATGAAAGGTCTGTAACCTGGACTGGCATTTTAATCAGCAATGCAATTGCTAGCTTCAAGCTGGATTTCTTCCATGACATCCTGGGAAAGATGTTGTAGCAAGCTGCCTGAGGTAGGAAGTGGAAAGTTACAGCTTCTGAATGCTCTTGAATGACCCAGCCTGGGAACGATGAGCTTAGCACTAAGTGATAATTTGTGGTGGTGGAACAGGACTTCAGAGGGTCACAGTTTGAGTGCTGGGACTTGACCTTCACTAAAGTTAATGAGGTTCCATCATGCAAGGCACATAGAGAGAATGATTCATACTTTCCTGATAGTGAAATCTGAACATTTACTGGTCTATCAAGATGATACATTTCCAGCAGGGTTTACTGACCATTAAGCTGATGGTACACAAGAAGACAATAACCTGTCTGCCTTTGGCAGAGACCTTTTGTGAACACAGTATGTTTCACATACTTACTCTATGGAGAGCAAATGAAGTCTTTTTAGAAAAATAAGAACTTATTCTTCTCAGGGAGATATTTTTAGTGTACTTTATTATGTTTTTAGAAATATCATCTCTTTTCTTCCCCGGAATTAAGATTCACCCTACTCACACTGATATCACTTTATGTTTGATACCACAGCATGACTAATCTGTCATGCCTCAAACAAAAGTAATGCTGCCTTGACTTCTGATTCACTGGGAACTGCTTTGTAAATAGTAATTACTCTGATAATTGCAGGGTGAAAAGGGAGAACCAGGAGCTATCATTTCTGCTGATGGATCTTTAACTGAATTATTAGGAAGAAAAGGGGAGAAGGTGAGCTAATACTGTGCTGTGTTCTTTCAGAATTATTTGGTGGCCATGTTACCAGCCACCTCTGCTAGACTTTGCAGGAATTCTCCTTGTCATTGTTCTCTATCTGTGTTGGTCCTCAACAGGGCGAAGCTGGAGTGATGGGACCAGTGGGACCAATGGTAAGATGATTCCAAAGATGAATGGTTTTTTATTTTTTAATTTTGCTTTGGCCTTACAAATATTAGTAAATGTAAAGGTAGCATGGTTAGCTTTTCTTTCCTTCTGAGTAGGGATGATAAGGAGTATTTGTGCTTCAGGGCCATCAGTCTCCTTTAGAAAAGAATTGCTTGTTACATATGTGGTGCTGTAACTACTGATTTATGCAGAGCTTAAATTCTGGTAGAACAAATGTATCTGTTACTGTCTAAGCTGACCATGAAATATCATCAGAGCTAGAAATTTGGATGATTTTTGACTCTGAGTGAACTGGATTTGTTTAGCTCTGAAGATAAAAGATTAAGAGGAGCTCTAATTGCTCCCTGCTGCGGCCTGAAAGGGAATCATAAAAAAGAATCAGGTCCTTCTCAGAGGTGCACAGGAAAATGACAAGTAACAAAGATGTTGTGACATATATAGATATAAAGGCAAAAATTCATGTTAAAAGTGATTAAACACAGAAATAGGTGCCCAAAGAGATGATGGATTCTGGAACAAGGTGTTGAGTGGCATGACCTAACCTACAAGCCTAACATACAAGTTTGTCTTATAAGCAAGGGGTTGTGCAAGAGGATCCCTCTCTTTCCACCTAAATTATTCTCTGTTTATATGATTTACATTAAAACAGCTAATTGTATTGGCTCAATTTCTGTCAATGCCAATAAATTGCGACTGTGTTGGATTCTGAGAAAGCTGTACACCAGGCAGCAGAGTAGGACCAGGTACCAACATCAGGATTTAGAGGTCTTCTTTCAGGTATTTGGTCTGATACTTTTGACTGGACATGGAAGGTCACAAGAAAGCATAATGAATTAGTTATAAAATAAGAACAGTTGCCCAGACTCAGCAGTGTTAGGGCACCAATTTCTTCTAGTCTAGTATTCCAAAAATCAAGGATGTCGAGGATGTTTCTTTGCTTCTGCTTTTGATGTAGCCTGGTCACTGTTGTGTCTTAGTGAATGTTAGTGTTGACATTTCTGCACACCGACGCTCATAGGAGATTTTTACATCAGTTTCTCTAGCCTTCCAAAGGGGATAACTGAGTATGCTGAGTAACTGCTTTTTAAATTACTGTGTATCAGAATACCCTGAGGAGGCTATGCTAACTTACCAGAAAGGATGTTCCTTTCCTTCTCTTTGTATGACTGCAAGATGATCTACCCTTTTGACTTGACACAGAATAACTTTGAATGAAAGTGGACTTCAGAGATGATCTTGTGCACATCACTGCCTGGAGCAGGTCTCTTTAAATCAGAAACTTGTCAAGTGAAGTTTTCAATAACTCTTAGGATAGAAATTCCACAACCTTTCTGGGCAGCACATTCCAAACATTTGACAAACTCTGAATTAAAACATTTGTCCTTATATTTATTTAGAATTCCTCATGTTCTGGCTTGTGTTCACTGCTACTTGCTGTGCATCCTGCATCCAGCGGACAGGTCCTTTTCCTCTCAGCCCCAAACTTTGTGGTTTACATCTCCTTTTATACTGCCTTCATACAGTTCAGCAAGCAGACAAGGAAGTTCTGGCCAGCACTGGTAGGAATGGTTACCATTCAGGAAAGTTTGGCACAGGGAGCCTGTCTCAAAGCTTTGCTCAGCCAGTTCTCTTCTGAGCACAGAACTCAGGTTTGATCATCACTGCTAATGGGGTGGTACAATTTGGTGTTGTCCCATAGAAAAAGATCCATCTGTGTAGTTAGTGTGAGGCCTGTGCAGCAAAAGTATACAGACTTCAAGTGCTGTGTCAGAGACCCTGGCAGATAACTTATTCAAGGTTTTAGTGCAATGGTCCTGTTCCACTTTGCTCCGAGGGAGTCTCTGACCCAGGAACAACTTTGAGGCAGTGGGGACTCTGATTGTTCCTCTCTGCTTTTAGACCCATATGCAGATTTCCAGAATTTAAAATCAAATCCCTAGTCATTGCTCTGCTCCTCTTTGAGACTTCAGGTGGACAGAAGGTAGGATCACAGGAGCTTGGAGCACAAGGAGCTGCAGAGAAGTAGTAGTTTGGCAGATGAGAACTAGCGATAGTCAGGAGGTCAGTACAATTGTTAGTAAAAGCAGAAGTAACAGACTGAATCCAAGCTCCTGCCACCAGAGGAATGAGGATCTTGTACATGCTGGATTATGCTGTTCCCTGTGGGTGAAGGAAATGGCTGCATATCACTGAAGGAGAGCACTTAGTGAGAACCTCAGTGTCCCGATCTATTATGCTGGTGTAAAAGAAACTTATGTGGTAAGCAAAACCCCTGTGGCTTCCAAGCTTCCTTCTTTCACTTCTAGCTGTGACTGCTGGCTTCTCTCAGGGAGTTGCTAACACCTGACAGACTGGGCTGGCACTTAAAGAAAATAATAAAGGTGGCCCCAGCTGAGTCAACTCTCGCATTGTTAATGTTTGAAATCCCAGCTGAACCATGGGATCAGACACTGCTCGCTATTTAAACTGAAAAGGTCTGTTTCTAGTTGTTCTCACTGCTGTTTAAAGTTCAGATTTACATAATCTTTAAAGGCTCAGGTACCAGAGAGTGAAATAGGAAAATGCTTTTGGATTGTTTTTTTTTTAAACATTTTTACATTTTTGATTGCTTTTTTCTTTTGTCCCAAACCTCATTACTGGATGTGGTACCATGGAAAGGTGAATTTTGAAATTTTGGGGCACAATATTGAAATTCACCAGCAATCTCTTGTCTGATTGAGACACAGGCATTAACTTTGTTCACATGGGTAGAAATTACCTTCAAACAGGAAATAAAATAGAAGATTAATAAAAGTCTTACCAGCTGCAAGTAGTTTCAGCTAACATTAGTGAGCTTTAAATTCTGATTACAATGGTGATATTATAAATTAATATGTTCATATGGTAACTGCGTATGAATTTCAGGTCTAATCCAGTTTTCAGTTTCAGCAGGAGCAAAATTACAACAGTTAATCCATGAATTTCAGCTAGATGATAAGAGAAATTATCTTCTTCATCAGATAAATTTTTCATTAATGTACATATCACTTTTCACTGAAAAGATAGCATGTGAAGGGTTAAACACACCCACTGTCAGATGTAAGTGGTATCTATGTGAGATCTACAGACAAATTAACAAGTAATGCAAGAAGGAGTACCTCAGCATTTCAGTGGACTAAAAAAAGGAAATGAAACCAGTAAGGCTGACACAAATGTAAAGAGTTTGTCTAGACCCTTGTGGTTTTGGTGAGTTTCAGGAAGCTGACATCAGCTGAAAGTTTGAAGATCCTCAGATTTGCTGCTTTTTGTTGATCACTTGCAGGCTGCCTAGAAGCTGCATGCTTACAAATGCCCCATCATAGGCCATCCATAGTCCTGGACCACCTTTCCCAGGCCAGGCAGCCTGCTTGTCCCCTCTTTTTGCAGTTGCTTGTATTACTTTGTGGAGCCTGGTGAGTCAGTCAAACCTGTATAAAGAAGGAACAATTCTGTTTCAACTATCTGCCCCATGAATGCACGAACCCATGCTGGTGAGAGGCAAGTAGAAGCCTGGCACTGCATGAATTCTTAGGCCAATCCACAGATATTTCCTCACAGAGCCTGATTAAAAAATAATTAGAAATAAGAAAAAGCGGGGGGAGGGGGGGGGGGAAGAAGATGAACAAAGTGTATATCTCTAACTTTCTTTTCTTTTCCTGACTGATGCATTTAATTTTTCTTCAATAGATGGTGAGTCAGTTTTGAATTGCATGCCCTACAAGAGTCTGGGAATTCAGACTTCATTGCAGATAGGTGGTCTTTTCCAAACCAGAGCTGTTACATGCAGTCCTCAGCTTCTGAGATCACTCAGTAGAGCAAGCAGAGAGGATGTTCTGTGCAATCACAGGCAATCGCAGGCTGTTTTTAATGTAGATATAAAATTATGTTTCTTATTCTTAATAATCAAATATAGGTCAACAAAATGGGCCACAATTACTTTTGTTTTGTTCAGGGACCAACAGGACCTACGGGACCCAAAGGAGAACTTGGCTTCCCAGGACGCCCAGTATGTATGATGCTCTCAAGTGGGATGAAGTGGGAAATCTTGCTTCTGACAAGATATATGACATTTATTAATATTATTTATAATAATAAATTATTTCTACTTATTTCAGGGCCGTCCAGGACTGAATGGACTGAGAGGTGTGAAAGGTGATCGAGGTGAAGCATTTAATGTAAGTTTTTTGTATTTCAATTAGTTACAAAATAAAATCTGTTAAAATTTGAAGTCTGATTTATACTGATCCCTTTCAAATGATGGGACTAAAAACCTGAAATGTTCTAGAAATAATTGTGTTTCTGCTACTTTTCCTCTCTAGCAGCAGTCATTGAAAAGTCAGCTTCTGGCTCTGTCTGGGCAGTGCTTGCAGATACACATAGTTGTGTCAGCTCCCAGGTGTAACAGTTATGTGTGACACTCTACAATTGCACCTTCAATTAGCAAAAGATTTGGAATTCCAGACTTTTTAATATGTATCAAGAAGTTCCTGATCCAGGCCACCAGTGTGACCTCACATGATGTGACCTTTCTAGCCCAGATATAAATAGCACTTGAGCATATCACAGGGAAGTGGTATCTACCTTACTAACAAGGAGACACTCACTAATACCTGCTACCTGCTATGGTTGCCATGTGCAAGTGTCCAAAACAATGACCTCTGCACAGGTGGCAGCATATTCATGCTCACCTACAGCCTGTAATTGTGGAGTGACAAGTGATGAAGCAAGCTCCTGTTGCTGCAAGTCTGTTCTCATGAAAAGATTTCAGACAAGTTGTCTCATGACAAACACTGAAACTGAACAGCACAAGAGCTAGCACTGCTGAGCATAGACAATAAGCTTCACAACAGCAGAGTCATTTGTGTGGTTGTTCTGATGTCATGCAACAATCTGTGCTAGGAAAATTGGTACCCATGCCACAACAGCAGCTAATGCTATTTCATCTGCATCAGAGATAATGCTGAATAAAAGTTACAAGGGTATGTTACTGTGCTAGCATAAATTCAGTATCACTGTATTTCATTAGAGAAATTTTTATAAATGGATTCTGTTATAAGCCTCTGGTTCTAGTTTGCTCAAAAGAAAAAAAAATATGGCACACAAGCTACAAGGCACAAGTGTCTTGTCCATCTAGACAATAAAGATAAGTGAGATGATACTGCTTTATGTGAGTAGCAGGGAGACTGAGAATTGGTAAGTATCTTTGCAGAATTAGTAAATATTTAGGTATCTCCACAGTAAAAAAGACCAGGTACTGAATGTGGCTTACACCCCTAGAAGAAGGTATAAATAGAAATATAGTTCCTAGAAAGTGAAAACGGACAAATAAGACAAATTCTAATTGGAAGAAAATGAGAGGAAAATTACTACCCACTGAGAGAAAATATAAGAGTAGATTTTCCTTTCCTCCATATCTTCAAAAAATATTAATGTTCATTTTCTGGATTGTCTGCCTTAACCATACAAAAGCTATTGTAACAAGTATAACTAGATGCAGTACATCAGGCTGACAGGTTAAAGCAAACAAGTAAACAAAGGAGGCTACATGTTCTAGTCATCCTTCCTGGAGTGCTCAGGGAAGATGAAATCTAATGGATCTCTAATTATTGATGAGATGACATATGTCACCATACAGAAACTTGCATTGATGTGGACTGAAAGGTGAACACAACCTTGTGCCAAGTTTTCAAATTACACAGCTCAGAGCTGACATATTTTTGTAAAAGGCAGTCATACCCTCAGTCTAGCAGGGCTCCTCAGCATTGTTAATTAGCATGCACCTATCTGACTGGCACTTGAAAATTTATGAATCTTAGCAGTCTTGAGAGATCTAGATCAGTGTAGAAAACCTAATCTTCCTTGGATGAGAGATAAACTCTTTTGATTTGTTTCAATAAGCAGTGCTTTAGGTGCTCCAGTTTGCAGTTGGGGTTTATTTTTTGTCTGATATCTTCCTTCTCCTACTTTCTCTTACCAGGGCCTTCCTGGCTTGCCTGGGCCCCCAGGGCCCCCCGGACCCCCAGGACGAATACTTTATATCAAAGGAGTAAGTGCCACTGGGCATCAGGGGCTGGTTTGGAGCAGAAATGTGCTGCTCTAGAAGCACTCTGCAAAAGGAAACATGAAAACTGGTTTCAGTCTACACAGGTCACTGTGAGTGACCTTGCTTGTGTGCAGAGAAAAAAAGATCTCTTAACCAAAGCCACTGTCATGGAAGAGTTTTGTCCCCATGGGTCCACAGAGAGGGACATTATGACAGACCTGGCAGCCAGCTGGGCTTTCTTCTAGGGAGGTGGGGATTTTGTTTCCAGGCTTAGCCTCATCATGACTGTTAGGTTTATGTGGTGTGTTACATGCAGTATCATACCTATGCTCACCAAAGTAATTTCCCTCCTGTTTTCAATAGACAGTTTTCCCAGTCCCTCCCAGGCCTCATTGCAAAATGCCAGTAAGTGACACATGCAGAATCTGCTCTTTGCAGGATGCATGGCCATGACAGAACATAACTAAAGCAGCTGTACACCTAAACACCATAACCTTGCACCTTTTTCCCCCTGCCTTCTGCTTTGCACCAGGGATGTGTTATACTTGTTCTTCAGGATAACAGATTTTCAAGTGTTTAGCCATTTATGAAAACTTAGCCATGTATGAAATATATAAAAGAACTAGAAACACTAGATTCTTTTGCTTAAAGTACTTTGATTACTTGTTTTTTTTTTTCTAATACTTTTAATGCCTTTCAAAGCTTGTGTTTCCATAGTTTAGGAGTTGCTTTGGGGACCTGAATGTGTATGCATACAGGTACACGTATTTTTTAGATATATCTATAAACACAGTCCCCATGTTGTTATGTCTCTAGCTGTTTTTAATTTCCCTATACAAAATAAGATTTGTTATGTGTTTCATTGTGGCATGAAAGACGCATCAGAAAAGAAAGATCATGTTCTTTATTTGACCCTCAAATGCACTCTGTCCACATAGAATTGCATCAGGTGAAGATCTGCCCCTCCTTTTCAAAGAGTATGACAAAGCCTTCATCACCTTCAAAGAACCTGTAGTTTCACACATAGTATGAAAAGAGAGGAGATGGATTTCATATTTTCACAATGTCCTAGTGCAATTTTTCTTTAATGAATTACAGAAATTGCATCCTAGAATGACTGGTGAACATAGTTCAGTCCTGGAAGTATTTTCCCTAGGGCAATATCTTACTGTTAAGCTGTGGGGTATGTATTTGGAAAGGTTTCTGTCTTTGGGAGCCACAGTCCACCCCTGGATAGTGTGGGGTTACACTTTTCTGTTAAACTCCAAGTAATACTGTGCCCTCTCCTCCAATTTGCATTCCAGTTCTTTTTCACTGATTTTAGAGAAACAGCTCCTGACTTCTTCTATGCTAAATGTACTGATACTCATCATTGCCCTAACCCTACTGCTGAAAAAAGTTGTATCCCAACTTGTGATCTTTTTAGGAATTAATGATAAATAGCCATTACTCTATGGTAATTTGCCATTTCTGCAGTTTTGGCCTACCACCTCCACACATCATTTTTTTACCTCTTAAATTTCTCCCTTTAATCTTCTCACTCCTATTGTATAACAAAGTAGTACATTGATAACAGATGTCCTTAATCACATACATATTTGTCAGCCTCACTTCTGAAACCTGACTGGATGAGGCCCTGAACAACTTGCTGTAGTTGATCCTCCTTTGGGCTAGACAACCTCCAGAGATGCCTTCCAGCCTCCACTCTCCTCTGATTCTCTGTGGAATGATTCAAACAAAACAAGCCTATTTTCTCTGAATTTCAGATAATAATAGCCACTTTTCCAGAAGGTTACAATCAGTGAAAAATAGCACTAACTTTAATGTGCACGAGTAATAGAAACATGTACTTGTAAACATCTCTTCATGCACCTGAGTGTGCTGGATAGATCTGTCCTACATTTGTGAGTAATCTCCTTAATCTATCCAAGTTTATAGATAAGAAGTCTGCTATTCATGCCTGTATTAATGAGTGTTGATAAAGAACTACAGACTGAACCCCAGCAGTTTTTCTTCATGGAGACTGAACTTCTGAAGTTAATGAAGCCACCCATGTGAGTAAGACTTCTATGGGCTGATACTACAGGATTAGCCAGATGCAGCAACTTCCATTTTTTCATACAGTTGCTTAGTTTCCTATAAATAGCACTAGAAAGTACCAAGATTTCCAAGCACTGTGCCACATTTCAGTTCCTGCATTGTCCCTAGTTTGAAGACAGGCACAGAAATAAGTGGCATGCCCACTGTTACAGGTAGCTGGTGACAGAAGGGGATACAGTAAAATAGCTTCAGTCTCCCCACTGTGGTATCAATGCATCTGGAGCACAGGTTAACATCAAACCTAACATAGCCCTGGTCTGATGAAGATAATTATAAACACAAGCTGTCATCTCACAGTCAAAAATCAAATCCTGCTTCCAAACATATTATTGTAAATTCAGAATTGTTCTTGGAGAATGAGTTTTCTGATGCTTCTCTGGCACAACCGAGAGTAGAATTTGCTGGTGCTTCCAAAATGCATGATGTTACCCTTTTGCTGAAAGCATGTTGCATGTCAAAGAGAGCATAATCCTCATAAAAACCTGATCAGCTAATACTCAGACCCTGTCAAACTGGAGATAATCCCAGAGTGTTGTTATAATATTTACTAGCATGCAAACTTGCCAGGGTTTTCAGTCACACTAAGTAATGCATGTCCACTGACTAATATGTATGGATGATTTTTAATGAATTTCTATGTCTGAAGGTGAACCTTCCCTGTCCTGGGATTCAAGAAATTCTTAATGACCATGGTGGGTAATTCTTTCCTTGTACCTTGGTTTAAATAAGGGTTTTTTTGTTTGTTTGTTTTTTGGTTTGGGTTGGGGTTTTGTTTTGGTTTGGTTTGGTTTTTTTTGTGGGGAGGGGGTGTTGGTTTTGGCTTTTGGGGGCGTGAGGGTTTTTTGGTTTTTTTTTTTTAGTTGGGTTTTTCATACTTAAGAGCTCTTTGCTTTTTCTTGATTATTGTATAAGAAGGGAAGGGAAGGGAAGGGAAGGGAAGGGAAGGGAAGGGAAGGGAAGGGAAGGGAAGGGAAGGGAAGGGAAGGGAAGGGAAGGGAAGGGAAGGGAAGGGAAGGGAAGGGAAGGGAAGGGAAGGGAAGGGAAGGGAAGGGAAGGGAAGGGAAGGGAAGGGAAGGGAAGGGAAGGGAAGGGAAGGGAAGGGAAGGGAAATTCAAGGACTGTTTCTGCATCTGCTCCAGTGAAATTCACAAATGGAAAAATAGAACCAGGTCTGTTCAGAGGCTTTTAGCTGAGTGGTTAGGGAAAGGGGAGTAAAAGATTTTTGTGAGAGGGAGATTGTCTTGCACATGTTGGGGTTGCTAAAAGAGGACAGTCAGGCAGCCATTCAATGATCATGAGTGAGAGAGGCATCGAGGGACAGGAACCATGTGCCCCCACATATATGGAAAATCTGCTCCCACTTTCAGTGGTTTGGTTGTCACTGCTACAGTCTCTGCTGTTTTCAAGTTCTTATGAATTTGTGATGCTGTTTATGGCAGGCACTAAAGCAAACAGAGATTCCTGGGGACTGCACAGTTCAGCACACTTAAAAGGAGAGAAGGGAGACAGAGGTGCTCCAGGACCACCAGGTATACTAAATCTAATATGTCATTGACATCCTGTGGAGGAATATGTGTCTAACTCAAAAAGCAATTCAGCAAGATACTTGAATACTTATCTCTGCTGCCTTACCTGCCTAGAGATTTATACCAGTGTTCACTGATGAACCGACACACAGAGCAGCAAAGCTCAGTATGTTATCCAAAATATCTTCTGAAAAGATAGACTGCACATTCGTGAGCATTATGAATGTGTTAAATATAAGAATAGATATTGAAATGTAAGTGGCTGGTCACAGATTTTCTGACATTTTAGAAGGACATAATGGGCACTTCCTGAGATATCATTTTGTTGTCAGTCTTTCTGAGTCAATTATGCTAACATCCAGTGCTTCACATTTAAGGGTGATACGCCTGTGCATTCTGAGTTCAAAACAGTCAGTTATTGCTGAGAGTCCCACTTCTAACAAGAGGTGGAAATAGATTATTTCCATTTCAACCAATTTTTCAATATTTTCTGATTTATTTGTGAAAATTATGAAGAGTCGGTATGCACTGAAAATTCCAATTCACTAGCAGTAGGAGCATCATAAGAATTATTCCTCACCCAAAGATTTGCTTTCTGTATAAAAAAGTGGATACACATTGCTAATTCTTACAAATTCAAAAAGAGTTACAGAAACAAGCATCTGTCTGAAAAGATTGTAATTACAAGCACTTCATTTTCTGTAGATTTTTTAAAATCTCATATACTGAGATAAGGCTTTGAAATAGAAAATGCAATATATTCAATTAGTGTTGCTATACCATATTAATAGTAATTTTCCTTTAATGCATTGATAATAACTATATTCTCCCCATATAATAACTGTATTAACCCCTCACTAGGTCTACATGGATATTTCTGTCTTTGTTCCAAAGACATAATTCTGCTGACTGAAGACAACGTTTTGGTTATTTTGAAGACAACACTTGTTTGTTGTGATAAAATCAATTTTCCTGTCTTGTCCTCATTAATTTTTATTCTGATCCAATATCTTAAAATAAGCAGTCAGTGATTTCCAGTCATCAATAAACTTGTCAAAAGAAGAAGCAAAAAACTTTCCTAAACAGAAAATAAGAAAATTTTCTCTTCCATGCTGCCTTATCCACCATGAACATATCTGTTCCTTTCCAGGTTCTGCACTGAATGTAAATTATTGTCTTAGAAGTATTTTCTTGCCTATATCTGATGATTTCAGGTGCTTCATAAGGAGAAGATTATGAGAGGATTTCTCTTTAGATTTTGCTGCAAAACTGCATGTAGTAAAGGATGGTGAAAATAACACAACAATTCTGGTTAAACTGAAAACTCAATTCACTTTTCTCCCAAAATAACAGAGATTCATTCACTTGATCCAATAGATCAACCACTTGATCCAATAGATCCAATAGATGAACGTTTTCTTCAACATTAAGTTGAAGCATGCTAACTAAGACCAATTCTGTTGCTGCTTTAAAAAATATTCCTGTTTGGTTTTTGCTTAATGATGTAGTTGCCAAAATATTCTTTCATACAAAGCAGTTCTCTAGTTCTCACAGGTGTCCACATAACCACTGACAGGGAAAATGTACAAGCCAGTAGTTGCATAATTAAAGTACAGGAAATTTTTCAGAACCTTTACTGAAGGGAAGGTGGCTGAAATTCTTTTCACTACATTTGTTGAGTTCCAGGAACCAGAAAAGCTTTTTGAACTGTGATATTTGTCAGTGCAGTGGATTTATTTTTGCTTCTCACAAAATGTCACCTCTCCAACCTTATAAACAAGGTCTATTAATTGATAACATGCAAAAGTATGAAGCCAACACAAAAAGTATGAGAGCAAACTCAACAGACATGGGCTTCATTCAGACCTAGACTACTTGCTGGTCATCCTAGAAGGACCTCATATAGTGCTCGATGTAGACATTAACACTAACCAACATCTGAGAAGGACACCTGCCATTCCATTCCACCAGTCCATTCCCTTCCCCCCCTTGTGTATCACAAGGATCAAGACGATCACTGCTGCAAGCTGTTATTGGTAAGGTTGGAATAAAATCCAAACAGGTGCCATAATGAATACTTTTCCACCCCACAATGTCTGTTCAATTTTACCTGAGGTGGCACACTGGGAAATGAGCCCTAGGGCTTGCAGAGGGTTGGGCCCAAAGGTCTCAAAACTTAATCAAAACACATTTGAAGGAAATGCACTGAACTGTTATAGGAAAATAGGGTTTTTTTTCCTAAATGTATATCAAGCAGATAATATTTAAAGGCTTTTTGAACCTTTTGTGCTGGCTTGACAGCTTTGGCTGACCAACTTTGGCAGACAACACAAGTGGTATAACCACTTGTTCTATTAGTTTTCATGATATTGGTTTTCATTGCAGAAAAATGTCAAGGAAGAGTTATTGTACAATTGTTGTAGCACAGCAGCAACACTCTCTCTCTCTTGTCTCTGGTACTGTCTTTGCAGGAAAGATCACACATCTACTGATGGAACACCCCACTACCAGCAAAACATATGAAAAGCTTCTCTTTTACCTTGGTTTTCATCAAAGGGGTTAATATAGATATTTCTCTTTCACTCTTCTTCCCAGCTGCTATGTTTTCAGAAAATTGGGATTTTTTTGTATTTGAGCCTTCTTTGCTTCTAATTTTTATGAAATCCCAATCAGATTCAGATGTTTTTAAGGTGGAAGAGGGACAGACAAGGCACAGACAAGATAGGCTGTGTAAGTCTTGCTTTGTTAGGGAACAAAACTAAAAATATATTTGATATAAAGGTTAATGCCATTATTGTAAATAGTTTTCCATTAAACTCCTAAACCAGTAATACCAAAAGCAGTGCTTTTAAAAGGAAAATTACAGATAATTATTGTACTTTATTTTGTTTTCTTCATTTTTCAGGTCCACCTCTGCCTCCATCATATTTCAGCCACTTTATTAGTAGCATAAAGGTAATTATATTCCATTTGTGTTTGAGTTCTGTTAAGCCATTTTTAAAGTGTACTTTACTCTAAATTAAGCACAAACCAATGCAACATGGTGAAATATAGAAATATAAGGGCATCAGCAATTGCAAATTATATTCATTTCTTAAACTCTAGCTACATAGGCAAGTGTATTACAACTATAGAGATAGCAGTTGTCAGAGGTCTATAAAGATTACTTTTGAAAGAAACTTTATTACTGAGGCTTTTTACCTTCCCAGTGGTATTGAAGTGAGTCATAATTCACTGTTACCTAACATATCTGCCTTAAATGAATGCTTTTGTTTCCATGTCAGCTCAGGTAAAAGACATCCATTACCTAAAGGGCTTCTAGAACACTGAGTGAGGGGAAAGGGGGTAGAAATCACTTGCATGTCACGTTATTTATCTTTTAAGCATGCTGAATAAAATTAAATTATTAAAACCACTTTTCCTGGAAGCTCTTACAGCAAAGTATACCCATATCTTAATTTGTTTAGCCTCTTTCTGTTCCATTATTCTCTTGATTGCTTCAAGTGACAAAAATTAATAAAAATATGATATTTTTTAAATGTTTTTAGGTGAATAGGACTCTATCAGTAGAAGAACTTATAAAATGTAAATCAAATCATCATTTAATGACACTATCAAAAGTGTTGTGCTGACAGACTCTTGTAAGGGGTCTTAATGCTGCCTGGTTTTAGGACTTTATTTCTGCTTGGCTGAGTACACCCAAGTTATTCCTATTGTATAAAGTGTCCCATGTATGTGGCAAAGCTGATAGGGTTTCTTTGACCTTACAGTGTAATGTCTGTAGCTGTACAGATTTAGCTGCCAAGAACTCATTTTTCATCTAGTCCTTCTACTCCCCAAAGTGGCCTGGAATAAAGAAACCTTCTGCGTCGTGTTTATTGGGAATCCACAAAGACTAAAAGTCAGAGGAAGGGCTATACATAGCCATGTCCTCTGGCTGTTTGCAGATACCTGCCATTTTTGCTTTGCCCTTTGCCTCTTCTATCCACGGGTTTATTTCTCAGAAACCGGAAAAAAGTCAACCAAAAAAAAAAAATTTGAAGAAAAAAAAAAGCAGACAAACAGAAAAAAATAATGTGAGGAGGATGTATAAATGCTGTGGCTCATCTTGCACAGATATATAATAATGTAGTAATTAGATGCTGCTTCTTACCTATTGCTTTGTTTCCCAAACTAACTGATAATCAGTCATGCAGAACAGAAGACATACTGTTTCAAGTGTCTGCAATTTTGTGTGGTGTCTCTTCTGTTCTCCTGGTACACACTCCCACCATGCTCTGCTCACTTTGTCAAATACCTTCCAATAGCTGTCCATTTGATGTCAATCTTGCCTTCATTTTTCCTTGGTGATGGAGGAAAGCACAAAGCCAGGCTTTTATGCTTCCTCCAACTTTCTCTTTGCCTCCAGCTACAGCACTGAACAAGGTTTTGCTGGGTAGATAGCAGGAAACAGCAGCAGAGGCGTTTTCTCTGCCCCCACCAAACCCCACCTCCCCTAGCCCTTGCCCTATGTGAGCCTTGCAGCCTCAATAGAGAAACCATTCCTTTTCATCCCATATCACAGAAGAAGAAAAAAAGTGATGTTAAAAACATTTCAAACAAACGCTTTCCTTTACCAAACTCAGAGATTTCAGGTAAATTTAAAGGGTCAGTGCATGATGTTCTGGTCTCACTTCAGCTCAACATTTTAAAATACATTTTCTTCAAAGGGTGAAAAAGGAGACAATGGAGTCACTGGTGTAAAAGGAGAAAAAGGAGAACCAAATGGAGGGTTTTTCCTGACAGGACCTCCTGGACCTCCAGGAAGACCAGGATTAATTGTAAGTCATGCAAGTTGTAGAATGGGAATAATTGTGACTACCCATTTAGAATTAATTTAGAAGGCACTTAAAAGAGACAAGCATCAGGATTGCTAGGAACTATATAAAAACTAACATGCTAAGCATTAGGTGAATAGGAGAAAATGTCATTAAGTGTAAACACAGACGCTTCACTGCTGTGCACAGAATTACTTTGCTATGAAATACTGACATAATGTTGTGCTCAGCTGTCTCATATAGCTACACCAGTATGTAGATCATGCTATTAACAGCATTACAAATCAAAGCAGCATGTATAATTTGTGATACAACTACTTATACCCCCATAATACCAAAATTAGCCATATCAAGTTAGTTAGAGGCTGACTTGAAAATTACTGGCTATCGAAATAATTAATCCTAATTTCCTAGTAATCCAAACACATGACTGAAAAGACCAGTGTGTAGCCATCTGGACCATTTCTGTAAAATTCAACCAGTGCCTAGTGTCTACCTATTAATTTTATCTTCTGGCAATTGCCACCACAGCTGCTTTGGAATAAAATGCACCAGTTCTTTGGAACCTAGTTTATCCCTGGGAACTGGCAACAAATACATGCGTTGCATTCCTCTATTTCCATGTCTGTGTCAAGAACCATGAATGAGTGGGCTGAGGATTAAGCTGAGGATTAAGTGCTAAGTTAGCAAGACCACCCTAAAAATCCCCCTAGTTCTATTCCACATTGCTGAGAACCATCTCCCTGTTTAGAAACTGTTCTACTGGCACAGCTGAGCTCTCCTTGTCCAGGGTCCAATGTGTTCCATGTCTGCAGGATGGTGTGAGCACAGGGAGCAGAAGTCCTCCTCAGTCAGGCTGAGGACACACTGCTAAATTGAAAATGAAGGGAGTTGAAGCCTTTTTATTCTGCAAGTCTGGTAGCTGGAGAGGTTAAGGGCTAACATTTGATCACAGGAGGGAGAAGACAGCACTCGTCATCATAAGGTGTACACCTTGCATAGACACACTTTACATTAAAGTTTTCCACAAACTCTCTGAGCCCATCAAAGCAAGCAGTCTCAGCATGAACAGAGTAGAGATTCAGGATTTTGAGAGCACTGTTGAGAGTTTTGCAGGTATCAGCTGCACAGGGGTAGGTATGAGATTATTCAGAAAGCTTTCCGAAATTTAAATCCTTGACTTTATTTCAGTATATGGTTAAAATTTTCATTTTCCGCTATGAAAATGCCTCCTTGGAGAAAATTACATACAGACTCATTTCTAAATGGTGGTGTAGTGGGAGGCACCTGGTAAATGTTGCCACCAGAGATGATGGCCCTGCAGCAGTGAAACCAATACATTCAAGGAAATACTTTTCATCACTGACAGGGACCAAAAGGGGACTCAGTTGTTGGACCCAGAGGACCTCCAGGGTTACCTGGCCTACCTGGCTTACCAGGTTATGGAAAAATTGGACCTCCTGGCCCACCTGGACCACCTGGACCACCAGGCCCCCCTGCAATATATGGCTCAGGTGAGCTTTTCAGTGTATGTGCAAATGTACAGCCACATGCCCACAACCCACCCATGACCAATTCTTTCACACCTGGCAGGTTGTCCCACCTGCCCACCCTCTCTGCATACCTGAGCGGGTTGTTCCCCACTCTCCTCCTGCCCTCTACCAGTTTCTCCTGGGGGGAAGTTGGAACTGAGAGCACAAAAGGGACAATTTCTCTGCAGACAGTTTTCACTGACTAGTGCTATGGAAGTGCTATTGTGTGAAGGATCTTGCTGTGGATGTGGCTGGGAGGAAATGTGCATAGTAGAGATAGGTTACCTTGACAGCTGTGCAAAATCCATCAAATTGACCAGCTGGCTAAATGTGGGACAAAATGCTCCTCTTGTGGGGAATGGAATTAAATCCAGCTGGTGGCCAACACGAGGGGGTCTTCCCAGGGCTCAGTATTGAGTCCAGACCTATCTAATATCAATTATCTGGGCTAGGGGATCAAATGCACACTTTAGTGAGTTTGCCCCCAAACTGGGTAGGAAGGTTGATCTGCTGAAATGTCCTACAGATGGGTCTGGACAGACTGAACCAATGGGCCAAGGTCAGCTGTATGAGGGTCAGCAAGGCCAGGTGCCAGGTCCTGCATTTGCATTTGCGTCACAACAACCCCATGCAGAGTGGCTGGATAGCTGCCCAGCAGAAAAGGACCTGGGGGTGCTGGTTGGCAGCTGTTGAACCTGAGCCAGCAGTGCCCAGGTGGCCAAGAAGGCCAATGGCCCTGGCCTGTATCAGCAATAGTGTGGCCAGCAGGACCAAGGCAGTGATTGTCCCACTGGTCAGGCCACACCTTGAATCCTGTGCTCTGTTTTGAGCCCCTCACTACAAGAATGCAGCACATTGAGGGGCTGGAGCATGTCCAGAGAGGGGCAACAAAGCTGGGGAAGGTTCTGGAGCACAAGTCCTATGAGGAGCAGCTGAGGGAGCTGGGGGTGTTTAGCCCGGAGCCAAGGAAGCTCAGGGATGATGACCTTATCACTCTACAACTGCCTGAAAGGTGGATGTAGCCAGGAGGAGCAGTCTCTTCTCCCAGGTTACAAGCAACAGAAGAGGAAATGGCCCCAGGTTGTAGCAGAGGAGGTTTAAATTGGATATTAGGAAATTTTTTTTCACCTAAAGGATTGCCACTGGAACAGGCTGCCCAGGGAAGTGTTTGAGTCACGATCTCTGGAAGCACAACCATGGCACTTAGGGGCATGTTTTAGTTGCAGACTTCGCAGTTCTGGGTGTTGCAGGTGGAGGTGATGATTTTAAGGGTCTATTCCAGCCCAAGTGCTTCTCTGATTTTCTGGGGAAAAGGCAGTACCCACAGCAGAGTTTAGGTCTAGAATCAGACTGCCGGAGAACTGCTTCTAAAAACTAGTTGCTATGCAAATACTGAATAGTATTGGAACTTCAGGTTGCTTACACTGCCTTTAATGGTTTTCAGCTGGGTTAGAAAAGGAGCAAAATGTGCCACAATTAGTCACATCAAGAGAGGAATTTTGCAAACAAGGTGACATCAAAGGGAGTATGTGGCTAGAAATCAGGTGTCACAGTACAAGATATTTGTGCTTTTGATTCCTTTTGAGTCACAGGTTTTTTAGTGACAGGCCTCATACTATTAATGTCCAGCCTTGGGTTCTGGTGGATGGGTTCTTGGGCTCCTCTGACATTACTTGATAGATATGCCTGAGAAAATGACTGATTCCTTCCTCTAGCATCTGTGACCAGCATGGAAATCCAGCCAGGTGAAACCTGAGCAGAGCATTCTTTAACCTCAGCTGAAGATGGTGTACTAGTGGAAAGGGAGACTTTACCTGAATAGAGATGCTGTAACAGAGATCTGTTCTTCCTGAAGTTTTGACAGGTCTAACAAATACAGTTCTCCATCCCTGAGAACAAACAATTAGCCTGTTTTCCCACAAGACCTGTGCTTCCAATATGCTAGTTTGGGGAGAGGACATACCTCTCTTCAGTTTGTTCTCTCCAGGTATTTCTTAAACCTGGTCAGCCTCATTTATACAGTAGGGGAGACTTCCGATCTCTCATCCAGTCAATACTATTAATTTAGTGTCTATCAGAAGTATTCATCCTCTCAATAATATTTGAGAAAGAAAAAATCCTTAATATGTTCAACATTGGAACATGGGCTTCATGTGAATCAGCCCCTGACCATCATGATACAGACAGACCCACAGCATCCATGAAGCCCATAAAGGTCTTCAGGCCTTTTCCTGTGTAATTTGGAGTAAGTACTTCTGGATATTAGCTAAGAGACCCAATCAGACAAAACAAATCATTATTAGTATTCCATCCCTATACTTTCATTTATGCTCTCTGCCATTAGTCTTCATCATCCTCCTACACATTTTCCTCTTTGCTTTGTAAAAGGGTTCTTTAGGCAGCACACATTTTAATAAATGTTCAGAACAGATGTTTATTTATTCCCTATCTTCGAGGTTCAGTTATCTCTTTTAAAGCTATTACTATCTGTAATTATGGAGATCACATACTGTAGTATGAAGTTCACATATTGCAATATGGAGAAAGAGGAATAGCTTATCTGTAGATCAATAGCTATAACCACTTCTGAGAGCTGACCTCATTCCCCTGCCATTGGCATGAAGGACCTGCTCTGGAGTATCCTTGCAAATGACTCAGTGCATAGATTCTTCTTGCAAAAGGTGATTTAGAGGTTCCTCTGGTTAAACCAAACAAGCAAGATCCTTGTGTAAAAACTCCTTACAAACAACTTCAAAGTCCCATTGTCATGACATGCATTTCCACAAAATGCATGCTTTTAGTCTTCCATATCTTTCAATCTTTCCTGCCTTAAAAGAAAAGAAGTTTTTACTCCAGAAAACAGCTCAAGATGAAGAAATTCACTTTTGGAATAGAGACAGATACTAGGTACCAGGTGGTATGGACTGCAACCTTAGTAGTCCAAGTTCATACCCCTGAAGAATTTCTTTTTTGCTTTGTAACACAAGCTGAGCTTACATATATGAATATTTCGTCTAAGGAAAAGCAAATTTTTGTTTGCCTTTAGAGCAAAAGATGTTATGAGTCCCTTGAAATCTATATGGGCAGGAGCAAAAAGTTCTTCCTCTTCCATGTGCACTAGCTGACAAAACAGCATTCTGGTCAATTTAAGTGGGTTTCATTCTTCATTTGCAGTTTCTACAACAGACTGCAATCTCTTGGCTCTAACCTCCCAAAAAACAGAGAAAAGACTGTTCCATCATTGCTTCTAAAAAAATCCTTAGAATGTATTTTCTGTAGTTGACTTGAGCTATTAAGGGCACGACTGCAGCTATTTAAAACTTCTGCTGCTCCTGGACACCATCATTAAGTCCTTTCTTTCTCTCAAAAAAGATGACCTTCAGCATGTATTGTACGCTTTTTTTTTTAGCAGCTGCAATGCCTGGGCCACCAGGTCCTCCTGGAGAGCCAGGATCACCTGCCACCAGGAATCTGGTAAGAGAGCAAAATAAGGAAGTTTGCTATAGAAAATTTTCTTCAAAACTTTTGGTGGTCACTGGTAGCACCGAAAGAGGAGTGAAAGTTCCATCCTGTGCTTTTATTTAGTAGAATATTTTATAAATCACGTAATTTTAAGATGCAAACTGCAGGTTTCCCTAGCAATTCTAAAAATTGTTGTTCCAGAGACTACATGTAAATTTGTTTCCTTTTCTTATATTATTAAATTTATTAAATTAATCAAAATTGAGTCTAAGATATCCATGAAGAAAAAAAAACAGCTAAGGCAGAATTCTCAGTAAGTTCTAAATTAAGAACTCATAGTTTCTGTAAAAAAAAAAGGCACTAAATAAACAAAAAAACAAAAAAACACCAAAAAAGCCTGAGAAAACCACCCCCAAAATCCCTATTCAAGCTAGCAGAGGGCATTCATTGCAATTCTCAGGGGAGAAACAAATGTTCAAAGACTGATGCCCCAAGATAGAGGCCTGTAGTTGCAGGCTGGGAGCTACTGTCTCAGATAGAAGGTCTGCGCTTACTTAAGATTAATTAAAAAAATACAAATCTGTAGTAGGGTCTGCATTATATGTTTTCTGTCAATGAGGAAATGAGGAAAAAAAAAGTTTTAAACTACTGCAGTTCTCTTCTGAACTCTGCCATTTTGACCCAGCATGCTAAATGGTAGGAGCGCAACAATCTTCACTATGCACAAAGTTAGTACAAAATTGCTGTTGTTCTACTGCAATCCACAGAATGAGGATGCTGGTATGCCAAAGTAGCAAGATATTCATATTACTTTATGGATTAAATTACATAAAACTAACTTTATGAGCCTTTCCTGCAGAAGAAGCCTTGACATTTATGTATCCAAATCAGACTATTTAACTTGCAAAGTGTTTTTTGTGTCTGATGAAGTATGTTTCACTTTCCTATTTGACAGGTTACAACATTCCAAAACATTGAGGGCATGTTGGAAAAAGTTCATTATGTAGCAGAAGGAACACTAATCTATCTGAGGGAAACCAGTGAGGTTTTTATTCGTGTTCAGAAAGGATGGAGAAAATTGCAGGTACTATTGCACTACACTCTAATATTTTCCAACTCCCTTCCTCACAATGAAGGTGAGGGACATATTTTTACAGAGGGAGAGAAGTGTGGGTGCAAAGACTCCTTATTTTTAATTCAGAAGCTCCTGATGATACATTTTGGTTCTAATCTCCTTTTTGGTCCTTGCAGCTTGGTGAGCTAATTCCTATCCCTGCTGACAGCCTTCCTCCTCCAGCCATATCAAGCCATGTAAGTACAAAATATTGGACTGTGGAAAACTGAGTCTAGATGTGTGGTACACTTGGCAGAAGTAGTATGCAGATCTCTGCACAGTGTGATTTTCCACCAAGATTTGTCAGTTCAAAATAAGCATCCTACCACTACATAAGCTTGCAAATTGATTGCTTGGACAGTAATCTGTTTCCAGTATCTTTTGAGATTCCAAACACTAAAGACACAAAGCAACATTTACAAAAAGCAGAATAAAGTAAGCAGCCCACAAAAAAAAAAATCCCCAAAAAACCAAAACAAAACAAAACAAAACAAAACAAAACAAAAAAAAAAAAAAAAGAGACCAAAAAACAAACAGAAGAAAAAGCAAACAAAAAACCCACAAACCCACAGAATACTGTTTCATAAGCCTGGAATCAGTCATATCAAGCCCTCATCCCCTTCAAGGAAGGTCAGAAAAGGGTTTCTGAAAAGCAGATTTTCTTTGAAAGGTTATAGTCCTGTATTCAGTGTACCATAATCATTACCTGAATGTAGCTTACCCCACAGAGGGTGCTCTTTAAAGGGTGCAGAGGCTCTTTAAAGCCTCAATTGTTAGTTTGTGCCTTACCCCATTCTGCAAGTTATTGTACCAGCCTGCATGTGAACATGCTGTCTGTCCCAAAAAATTGTGGGAGGATGAAAACCAAGAAATGGGAAAGGCAATAGAGAAGGTTTTTTGATGACAAGTTGATCTGCTTAGAAAATGAAAGGGCAAGAGTGCTAGGAAGGAGCAGTAAGAAGGAAGATGGACAGAAACAAATAAAAAAGGTTAAAGTAGGTCAGGGAGAATTCACCTAGCACACTGGAACAGTGTCTAGACCTCAAGTTATAAGAAATTTTCTGCAGCCTCCAGTTGATACCACATGAGTTTCCCATCTGCTCCAGTTAGTGGCTTGTTACTCATACTTGCCATAACTAGAGAAGAAAACTTTGCTGCTCCTGAAACAATTAAGAGGGTTGAGAAGTGTTTCCACCCATTACATTTTCTGTTCTCACATCCTCCTTACCCTTTCAGTTTTGATTTTCCTCATCTGCTCTTCTGCTCCTACCAAGAGCAGGCTGCTTTCATGTAGGACTCCAGGTGTGATTAAATTTTTATTTAAAAAATTACTGAGTGTATACAATTCTGATATTTAACTTTTTTTTTTTTTGCTTGTGTTTGAATAACAGGGATTTCAGTCTATTCCAGCACTGAGACCAATATCAAATATGTACAATGGAAAACCAGCAGTAAGTATGAGATCTGTATTGCAGCTGCAGAAGTATGCTTTGTTATGTGACAGTTTGCATCTTTAGGGACAGTTGTGATATTTGCTCTTCAAACTCAGAGATTTTACTTCAGAAATTTACAAATACACTTTACTTTATTCAGACATCTCAAACACAATTTGAAATTGTTCCCTCCAGATCTGTTTTCATCATCCCAGCCCATCCCCATCTCAACGGAAAAAAACTCCTGACTGAGTTGGGAATACCGCTTCACTCAGTGATTGTACCTGCAATACAGAATAAACTAACAATAAACTTCTAAACTAACAATAGTGCTACAAATAATTAAATTAAAATATTTGTTACAATATTTTCAATCTTCGTGGTGCTGCTTGGCTTAGATGGACACTTTAGAACTTAAGCCTCTATTTAAAATACTTTAAAATATTTAGACAAAGAAAGCACGGTAACTGACATATCTAAAAAATTAAACCAGAAAGAAAAAAAAAAGGAAGAATGTGGATTAGTTCTTGCATCTGTGCTGCTTGACAAAAGCATGCTATTTCTTCTATTTTTAAAGGGTACCTAGTCACTTCTTACCACTTTTTTCCATGTTTGCAGGATTTGTGATTTTGTTAATGTGAAAACTCCAAGATTTCCAATGGAAAATATTAGCTACTTCTAAAAGATTTTTATTTTTAGGAGTACATAATATTCATAGTTTCCTTAACATTGAAAGATGAATTGATATTTCTGCTAAGGGTCTCATGGCTCTGAGAAATGTAATGTTATGGCAACAAATAACTTTCATACTTGTTATGAAGGGTACGTGTTCTGTGCTGGCATGAGGAGAGGGCACTGTTTTGTTTCCAAGATGTATCTTCCTTGTGTCATAAACTTTTTTAAAATGGTTCCCTTTCTTCTTTTTTCTTCCAGTTGCATCTGGTGGCTTTGAACTTCCCATTGTCCGGTGACATGCGAGCAGATTTTCAGTGCTTTCGGCAGGCCCAGCTTGCCGGTTTGACATCTACCTACAGAGCCTTCCTCTCATCACACCTGCAAGATCTGGCCACAGTTGTCAGAAAAACAGACCGACACCATTTGCCAGTAGTCAACCTTCAGGTAAAAATGGGGACTTAGTGCTTGTTTTTTTAGGATAGGCCATAGGTTCCCCAAAAATCTTGGAAAATAGCAAAAGCACTAAGTTTCAGCCCAAACTGCATTTTATAAAGAAGCAGCTTTTCTTCATATTTCACAGTCAGACTCAAGAAACAAAGAAGCAGTGATGAAGTTATTATGTTCTACCTTTTAGTGTGATCATAGGATAAAATGCCTATTTTTTTCATTTCAAAGAAAAATGTAAATTCTGTGCTTAGGCATGATGTTGGATATACCCCAATGGAACTGAGAGGAGAGTCTAGAGCATGAGTCATTTTGTGGTCTCACATAAACAGACACACTCTAAAACTGAGGAAAACCAACCATGTCTTTGTAGCACTGGCTGGCTCCCAGGACAGGCGGCCAAAGAAACCTACAGGAATAACACATGATGCTTGGAACATGTTCAACGGATGCTTCTCTGAAGTGCCTGCAAACACAGAGCCTTGAGAGAAATTTGTGAAGACAATATTGTTTCAGCCTTGACTGGAAAAACTCAAAAGCAGTTTGAGAGGAAGCCAAATGCAAAGATTTTGCCCTGAATGTTTGCAACACTTTTCACAAAACTGTGACCTTAACAGAAGTTCCACTACAATTTATGTCTATATTTTCTCTACAGCTACAGTAGTTATAAGCAATTTTTCAAATAATGCCTTAGGAGGAAAAGGATAGGGGATGATCAAGCTGAATTTTTGGAGTGACAGCAGAACAGAGAGACAACTCTGAGGCAAAGGCATGGACCAGACAGCTATTTGCATAGAGTTGATAGACAAGACAAGTTTGTTCAGGAACATTACGCAGAAACTTGTGTGAAAGATGAAATCACAAGGGTCCTTAAATGCAGATAAAATTTTAAATTTCCAGATAAGTCTATGAAGGTAGACTTGGGATTTGGTGTAGATTAGAGATTTGCTTGTTTGTAAAAGTGGCTTTGAAATTTTTACAGGGACAAACCCTTTTCAGTAACTGGGAATCTATATTTGATGGAAATGGTGGACAATTCAACATTCATGTTCCAATATACTCCTTTGATGGCAGGAATGTCATGACTGAATCATCTTGGTGAGTTGACATTACCATTTATATGTTACATGTAAGGGGTTTTTTTTCTACTTTTACCAGATAGTAAAATAAATAGTAGCAGTATCTTGAGCTACTAGCTGTGTGATAAAAATTTCTCTCTTTCTTTATGCCATTTTTCTTTCTCTTTTCTGATAGTCTAGAAATGGGATATCAGACTGTGTTCTCCTTTCTTTCTCTCCTTTCTGTCTTCATCTTTACCTAACTACTCCTTGTTTCAAGCACAAAGAATGCAGATGACTACACATACAGGTGTACAGTTGAATACAGCAAAAGAGACTTTTCCAATAAATAACTTCTTAACATTACCTTTCAGGCCTCAAAAAATAATATGGCATGGTTCAACTGCAAATGGGATCCGGCTGGTTAGCAGCTATTGTGAAGCCTGGCACACAGCTGATATGGGAGCTATGGGACAAGCATCGCCTCTGAACACAGGGAAACTTCTTGACCAGAAAGTATATAGCTGTAATAATCAGTTTATTGTTCTCTGTATTGAAAATAGTTTTGTCTCTGATCCCCAAGGAAAATAATTCACCTGCTGCACATAGGAATATTCTATTTGATGACAGAAAAAGCTGACACTGAAATTTCATTTGTAATGATGTAAATATTTTAATTTTTGTAATTGCACATTTCAGGAAAAAAATAGACAAAGAAAACATACCTCAACACAAACCACATTCCAGCTGGGTGGAACATCCAGTGCACACAACTGGCTTAAAGCCCTTATTTTCCCTTGAACCCCATGTGATTTGAAGTTTGCCAGCAGTTAACTCATGCTCTGCCTGAGCTGGAGGTCACCTAAGGGCATGAGCCAAGTGTGGTCTGTGAGGAAGGTCCAGTAGCCTGCCTCATAAGCAGTGTGGCTCAGCAAGGCTGCTGCTGCTGCTTCACAGCTGAGAAGCTGCATGTTCCATGCTCTCCTTTTCACTTGCGTAGATTTTGGACACCCAAGGCACCGTTCATATATACTCATATATACAGTGAATACTTTTGCCATACAGAGCTCACATTTGCAAAGCGAAGCTTTAAGAGCAAAGGTACTCTCCTCCTCTGAATTTGGTGGAAGCCGAGTACTTGACTCCTGTAAGCTTGTATGGATCTCAGCCTGGTGCTTACATAGAAATATAGCTCTCCCACATCTTATTTCAGCTTTTCTCTTTGTAGATTCTAGGCATAAGACTTTATTCAGGAGGAGTAAATTTCACATTGACAAAATCTGGTCTTTATTTTGGTGCTATTGTTACCAGGAAACCTGAAAGCAATGTTAATAGAAAACATCCTGTTTAACTGGTAGAACTGAACAAAGCAAATGCAGACAAATGAACCATCTGACCTTTATTTATTTCATTGCATGTTAGAGGAAGTCATTTCCTTTTGTGTCAGACTGATGAATGAAATATGTCTCTCATGGTTTCTTTAAAATAGGTTCTACACATTGTTATCCCACTAAGTTATATGTAAAGTGATTTTCCTTTTTGTGAATTTACCCTTCTGGCATTCACATAATTAAAGAATTGTTAATATAAAATAACTGAAACAATTATAGGCATGATCAGTAAATTGTAATATTCTTCACTAACAGTATCACCATAATATCTGAAGTCTTTTGCTGATATATTTGTCTACTGCATACTTTAAACAACATATTTACTTATGCTTTATCAGGCAGTGACTATGGAGGTCAAACTCCACATTATCGTTTTTTTAAGATTTTAATGAGAATCTGTGTTGGAAATACATGTTCATTTGCTGACAAATAGAGTACTAAATAACTAGACAGCTTTTGTCAACAGACAAAAGCAAATTACACTTACAATACTAAAATTATATAATTATACAACTAAATATTTTGAAATGCAGCTTTATTTTTCCAAATTATTATAAAAACTTATTTCCTATGGTCAGCTGAATGATATCTTCATTTTTTTTCTGGAAAAGAAAAAATGTAAATTACTCCATAATTACACCATGGTAATAAGGCAAAAACCATTTGTATTACATTTAAAATGTATGCATAACAATTCACTGCACTCATTTATAGTCAGCTTTCCTAAAATACTGAGCCATTCTTGTGCCAAATTCCTCCAGTTCACAGAGCTGGAAGAGTTATTTATGTACAGCAGGGTTTTACTCTGAGTGACAGAAGGATCAAGGGGGAAAAATAAAGTGTTTTTACCTGCTTCAAGCAGGACCCATCTACTTTTAATCCTTTACAGGCAGTGGGGTCTCTGCTTGCAGCCACACATTCACATCAGTCCCCGCTCTTCCTCTCCTGAGCTCAAGCAGCCCTTGGGATGCTGGCTGGGTTCCTTTGCCTGGAGTTGCAGTGACAAGAGGTAGGGTCACACAGAAGAGCTCTGTGAAGGGGGATGAGAGAAGACTAATAAAAACATGCAGGTTTTAGGAGATACTGAGCTAGAGTTTAAGATGAGTCCAGCAAAATGCATCCAGAGATCTTTGTGCCAGTTCTTCCACAGAACTGACCCATCTCTGTATCCTGAACAGAGCTTAATAAGGAACTGAAATGGTTAAGCACAATCAATAAGTTGCTAAAAAACTCTCCATGTTTGCTTCCCACCTCTAAGATTAATCTGCAGGCTACAGCAATTTATTGCACACCATTTAACTGAATACAGAGCATGAACTGTGCACCACCTGGGCTGCTGTGGTGCTGAGTTCACAGGCTTGCTCACATGCCAAGGGAGACACCTTTAACAGAGAATGGCATGAGAGGCCTGTTAGAAATATGATGTTTCCCTTGGGGAAAACAACAGCACCGCACACTTTTTTTCAAAACCAGTGATGTTCTTTAGATTCCCTAGTATAAGTGAAAAGAAAAAATATTATTCATCAAGGATATAACAGAGAGAAAAAAATTAACCCAGTACTTAATAATAAATCAGCTTTCTCTATCAAAGGAGAGTACTTTTGTCAGCACAGTTTGAATACAAAGGTCAGCTGCACTTGAGGAAGAATGTCTGCTAATTCAGGTAAGAAACTGTGTATAAGGCAAAGTAATCACTAGAACAAGATTGAAAACAGTAACTGCACAAGAAATCAATGTGGCAGTCCAAATTGTACTGAATTGTAAATACTCCAATATCCTGATCTGGCCCACTAGTTTTGGTAGCAGTAGGTAATCAGCAGGTCTTTCACCCTTCTCAGTTCAGGGATCTTTTCTCTGGGCAATCACAAACCATGTCATGTTTCCATCTACCAGTAGCATGCTCCTCTGCCCTGAAGAACTGCAGCGAGAGGAGTAATTTCTCCTCCCATTGCTATTATAATCAAGGCAAACCTGTGAGTTTCTGCAGTGCAGCATATACATCTCAAGGGACTGGCAATTAACAAAACTCATTTTAGTGTAACCACAGACTGCCAGCCTTGCTTCTGAGCTGTGCAGTGAAAGAAGAAAGAATGACTTGCAGTACGTCCTGCCTGGAAGATTACTCAGTTCCTCTTCTTTGGCATTGAGATTTAGGTATTACTTCTGCATTAATACTTGCAAGTCTTGTTTTCACTCCAGTACTCTCCTGGAGAAGAGAACCTGTCTTCTAGATTTTTAAAAAATTAGATGCTAGAATTGCAATATCATTTTGGTGTTCAAGTACTGGGGTTAATGCCTTGTGTGCATCTTCAAAACACATCTGATTGGGGTTTAGCTTTTATTTGCTGATCTGATACATAGTTTAAGCCTGCACTCTAATAGTTCCTCCCTGCTGTCTCTCCTTTATGCATCATCAGTAGCTTCCCAGAGGTAGAAATACTTCTAGATGGACATCTACTTAAGTCCTTTGATACTTTAACCTGAACCTGGCCTCTCTTTTTTAACCAGTCAGAGGGCTGCTATTTGCTGCATCTTAAAAAGCCTATTCTGCACCTTGGTGCAATTTCTACTGTTACTAGTTAATCTAAAATTTTTCCTATCATATTCTCTTCCAGTGTATCCATATTAAAACAAACCACAAAACATCATAACTCCACCCTGTTCCACTCCTAATGTTCCTAATTAATGGCCTAACCTGGAGGCATACCCAGAGTGGATGTCTCAGCTCCAGCAGTAGTAGACTTTGTGTGAGAGAGAGGGAACACAAAGTCAGAATATCTCTTCATCCTGGGTGGGCAAAAGAGAGTAATGGAATTACAGACAGCACAGGCTGTGGGAATTTCTACATTGTGCCGCTTTGCCTGGGGTAGAGTTCATTTTCATCACAGTAGCTGGTATGGGGCTTTGTTTTGGCTGTATGCTGACAACAGTGCTGTTAACACAGAGTTGTTTTCGTTCTTGCTGATCAGGGCTTACACAGAGCCAAGGCCTTTTCTGCCTCTTACCAGCGAGGCAGCTGGGGGTGCACAAGAAGTTGAGAGTGGATGCAGCTAGGACAGGTCACCACAGGACTATCCCATATCAGATGGCATCATGCTCAGCTTATAAAATGGGGGGAAAAAGCAGGAAGGGGGAATAATTTCAGCGAGGGCATTTGTCATCCCAAGTCATCACTCCACCATTCCATTCCAGCCTTGCTTTCCTGTTTATGGCTTAACAATGCCCAAAAATGGGAGAAGCAGTGAATTAATTTCTTGTTTTGCTTTGCTTGCATGAGTGATTTTGTTTATCTATCAAACCCAACCCATGAGCTTCATCTTTACTCTTTCAGTTCTCTCCCCTGTGCCACCCTGAGGGAAGTAAGTGAGTAGCTGTGTGGGGCTGAGTTGCCAGTCAGGGTTAAGCCACAAAATACATACGAAATCAATTCAGCATCAACTCCCGTTGTTGATCAGAGGTGACTACTACTGACGAGTATCCCTGAGACAGAGGAGCCAGCCTCAGGGATACTAGTAATGCTTCAGCAGAAAAGGGGATGACAGCCCTGTTGGACCTTACAAGTACCTAAGATCACATTCAAATTCAAGCCAGGATGATGATGACATTGCCTCTGCAAGAAACATAAGTTTTGTATCGAGCACTTTGAATGTGTTCACTGTTGGAAAAACATTATCTCCCCACTGAGTTAGATGGGTTGGTTTTAACATCCAAAAAACTGTTTGCCAGTATTTAGCTTTGCTCTACAGTTATATATTTTCACATTGCAGGCCTCAAGGTTTTGACTGAGGCTAGTCTCATCCCCAAGGCTAATGCTGTACTAGAAAATTATCACATCTGACTGACAGCTGAACTGTCCCCTGACACAGTTGTGGTCACTGTCATTTGTAATCCTTCCAGCCACTTCTTTAGGGGATGCTTTGCAGGGAGAGCATGTGCCAAGAGCTACTCTTGTAGATAGTTTGAAAGAGCCGCCATATTTTGGAATAGAAAGATTTAATTGTACTCACAGGTGCTTAAGCATTGTGCTTGGTCTCAGGGCTAGCTGGAGTCCTCATGCCACTGAAAGCCTGTAGAGGGACTGCAGGACACACGTCTGATTGCCACAGAACACACATCAATGGCTCTTTATGTCTTCTTGCCAAATTTAATAATATGTATTCCTTCTGCAAACATTCTCCATCCATGTAAACCCCATGTCCA